AGATAGACAATGATAAAAGAATAAGAGCGTACACGTTCCGAACAGGCAGGACTTTTAGGTTACTCTCAATACCCTTTAAGACCGCTGATTTACCAATATTAATATTTTCAGTGGAATGATCATTTTTTACTCACTTGTAAAGCATATGAATTATATCATCATTGATTTCATTATATTTTCAGTATAGATATTCATTTAAATCCTTCGTCATATACTTTCTACATATTATTTTTAAATACAGTGAAGTAAATTCTTAATGACAATACTCCCTTTCGTGTTTAGAGTGGATTTAATTATGAATACCAAGTAATATGTTTTAATTATTCTGAAGATTTTGCTTTTCATCAATGTTTATTTTCATTTATTTAAAATTTAAAGAATTCAGATATTCCTACTTATCAAAGAATGTGGAATTTCATGAATCAGAATAAATCATTGTTTGTTAATAAAACGGAAGAAGGTATTTCACGTGTTCTTGAAGGTGGTTATGCTTTGATATTGGAATCGACACTTAATGAATATTATGCTCAACGTAATTGCAAACTTACCCCTCTTGGTGGATTATTAGATCCAAGAGGATATGGAATCGGACTACCAATAGGCAGTAAGTGAATACTACTTACTAGAATTAACAAGAAATTATCTAAAAATAAATTTCTGGTTACAATTTTAAAATATACTAAACCAATCAAGCGATAATTGACATTAAATAATAAACGCGCAATATCGCAGATTAACTGGAATGATTAAATCCAAACTGTTACATTCTAACTCAGAGGTTATACTGCTTGTGACGTGATTTGAAAGTCTTAAATAGCATAGCTTGTGGAACTGTGTGTTCCACGGAGTTCTATACTTTACTGAAACAACTGTCAACTGTTTCCTTGTTTTCAGTTGTGCCAAACTTGATTTCATCCCATCGGGAAATTATCTCTCAACAAATAAATACTTGATTTATATGTCTCACGAATATTAACATTTTTATCATCAATATCAAAATTGGATTTAGTAATGTAATTTGGTTTATTATTTAATTTTACAATCTAACTAAAACTAAACTATGGGTATCTCGATTTCTAGCTGATGTTTAATAACAACGGTACAGAATTGTTAACAATATTCAATTATAAAATTTATTTTCTGGTATAAAAATATAGTGATCTCTGGTAAATTTGAAGTCTATTTCAAAAAACGTCTATATCAATCATATAATTACTGAATATTAATGTGTACTATAGACTGCTCTTAGTCACAAACTTTGAGTCCCAACAGCATTTGAACAATCTCATATTAAATTAAACATAATTACAATTGTTAGTATTTCTAGTCTAATATGAAACAAAATTATTAAATAAGCACTTCGAAGTGACCGTCCCTACATAAATATTTGTGAAATAGTATTCAGTTAACAATCTACTTTACTCTTGTTCATCGCTTTTTAGATAATGGATTGAGAGATTTATTATCTGAAAGTATATTAAAATTGCAGAAAGATCAAACCTTAGAGAAAATGCGACAATACTGGTTACAACGTTACAATGCGTCAGTTCCATGTTATTTACAAAGTTCTCATACAAATTTACCATCAAGAAGTAAATTGACACTTGCAAAAATGTCCAGTGCTTTTATTGGTTTAGGTGTTGGCTTATTTTTTGGCATACTTGTTTGGATTACAGAAATTGTAGTTTGGGTATTAAAAGTTCGAATAAACAGAAATGTAAGTCATTTTATTTACCAGAAAGAAAAAGGTTTAAGAATTATTTACTTCTATATCGAATTATTAACATGTTTGAACTGTAACTAGCGGTGGAGTTTAGGACATGCAATTTTTCATACTAACACTGAATAGTTGCGGATAAATTCCGCTAGTGAGTCCTCATGTAACAAAGAAGCCAATATCATGGCATCCAACGAGGATGCATATATGCCGATAGAAACTGATCACTTGTAGTCTTTAATATCTACAACGGGATATTTATAGACATCATCTGGGGAATGATGATGATAATGATGCACTAAAAGCAGTGATAAGAATCTTTGTGACTTAGTAATGGGTTAAATTATGAAACCAATTTTAACATTTCAGTTTTCATGAAAAGACCTTTCTAATAACCATCCGATGGTAATCACAATAATTCTACTTAAGTACATCATTTAAAATTGACTTTTTTTCACTGAATATGTGGATACTTAGCTTAGACATTTAAGTCCTCATTTTCGTACATGACTACTGTAAAGCCACAATAAATTGTACTAAAGTCCTTCAGAACATGAGTGGCAGCACTATATAGAATTATGTTTATGATAATATCGCATTTTCTGTTACGCTATACGAAACTCCTATGTCTAACGAAGCATAAGAAACTACAATCAGTGAAAACACCTTATTAAAAACGATAAAATTGAATATCTATTAATGTTTTTCAAAAGTGCATGATACCTAGAGAGAAAGTAAAAGTAAAAAATGTAACGTAACTCACCAATTTCATAAGCATTACTGTAACTTAAAATAATTGAGTCTATAATGGGTATTAACATGAAGCAGTATGCTGATTCTAGGGGACTAATTATTTTTAAAAACCAGAACGTAAGTACGCCGTCTCAGTGGACCTTGCTTGTATAATTATAGCCTTGAATTATAGAAAAGATATTGTTTGGAGTCTCGTTACTAAAACAGTTCAAAAACAAAATCCCTTAGTGATGTTCTGCTTATTATGAATATGGTAATACCTTTGATACTCCCCTACATCAGCCATTTCACTAGCATGACAGGTAATAAATATTTAGTTATTCAAGTTTGATATTTATTGCTTCTGAAATTATAATTCTAAACCAAACATCAATATCAAATCATTAATTTTCTTCAGAAATTTTCATACAACAAAACTTTGAGCTACAAATGAGTAGTGGCACGTTTAACTATTCAAAACGAAGTAGGTAACGCACACTGAAATACATATTGTACTTATCACATTCATGAAAATGAAAATAAGGAATACAATAATGAAAATGTCAACTACAATGGATAAACCAAAACAACAATGAGGAAGACAAAAGTACATATATCATTATATTAAAGTCGGATTATTATGGAAGGCTTATAATACTAATAAGAACTAAATCAAGCTATTGCCTTAAGTAGACATGAATTAGTAGAATAATTTGGAATTTGTAACATATAATCTACTGGATTGCAACTTCATTTGTTATGACTAAAATACTCTTTACGCTATGAGAGTAGAACATTTTACTAGATGACAGTCCCAATAATTCACCAGTCGATGTCACCTTGTAGTGTAATAAAAAGTGCTAATCTTCACTAGGCCATCTGAAGTATTTCTCATCAACCGATCGGTTCATACTATTTTAGCCGTGATAACTTCACCTGAGCCGCTGGATATCAACAAGCCAAATGCGAAGTTTGAGAGATTTTATTTCAGGCATAATTAAAAAGCAGATCAAATTTGAAACGAGCAGAAAAAGTATATAGATTCATTTCACATAGGATAACTTAATAATCCTTCAGAGTTTAACAAAATGTTCAAGGTGTACAGAATCAGGCTATTACACTATATCCAGATATCAAATAGACTGGTCACTTTAATTAATCTTAATTCGATCCATCAAGTAGATTGCCTGAAGAACAGTATTTGGTGTTCAGATTTTGATTATAATCACTTTTTACCAGTGATATAAAATTCCAAAATAATCAATAACCTATTTCGATACCATATGATAAATTGGTCACACACACTCGTTTATTATATTTTTATTTGCTAATACTTCCCATTCATACATTTAAATATTAAATTTGCTTTCTATTTTGTAGCAATCTCCTATCAATGAAATCGGGGAACATTTCCAAAAAACATTATGTCATCATCGGACAAAAAGTGAGGAAATAATAACAATATCCCGTCTTAATTCAATAGATGAATCCTCATTAACAAAGTACAAAGAAATATGTAAAATGAACCATACAAACCCAAGTGGAATAACAACTTATAACATAAACAATGGTGATCAATTGAATAATACTTCTACAACATTTCACAAAGTCACATCATTGTAACTGGATTGTGTTAGGGATATTTTTTAGTGAAAAGATAGAACGAGTGCATAAATGATAAGCGGAAATGTAAACAATAACAACACTAAGAGGAGTTAAACATGTTACACTAAGGATGACCTTGGGAGACTATAGTTAGAAATTTTCTATAATAGAATAACCAGGGTGTTTTTTTATATATATACTTCCATGTATTGTTGCCCTATCATGCAAATTTGTATAGACTCTAGAAATTAAACTAAACTTATTCAATGCTTTAAGGTGATGACTGTAGTGGTGCCTGGAAGTGTATTAGTTAGGTAGTTGTGTTTATATGAGTGGTTAGATTTAGAATGTTAACTTATTTCTCAAATCGACCCTTCTTCGAATACATATGGTTCTGTTATAAATATATGCACCGATTTATTATTCAAAATTGATCATATGTTCTCTGATTTTCAAGCTACCACTTTCAGACGTCAATTTTTAGATACTATCTTTACATGGTTCTTCCCATTTCATTTTTTTATTGAATTGATTGTACATTTTTCCGAATACCTTAACTTTGATATTGTCATATATGAGCACATTTTTACTTATACACTACATAGGTAGTCTTAAAATGACGTTTAAATGAACAGATTTATTACAATAATAATATCGATAGAAACCTCGTTTGTCTATCATTGTGTGATCACTGTTAATACTCTTTTCTTCACGTTATTTATTCTAGATGGAACATTAAAATCATCAAAGGACCTGTGAAATCATGGAACGAATAAAATATCCTTTATAATAGATGCATTTTGGGTAGCTATGAAATCCATGACATGCGTCTCATTCTGTCCTTAGCATCAACAACAGGATAAATTTAACCCATGCCAACAGTGATATACAATATCTTTTGTTAGTAGATTTTAGGTATGTTTAGAGATGATCATGATCGCCTTACCTGAGTGAACACAGAAATGGCAATCTAGTACAGTAAAAGAACAAAAAGTGAGGTAAAATAACATGAATTTATTTTGTTGATTGTCATCAGCTATTTACATAGTTAAAATTAACGAAACGTGACTTGAACTATAAACCTACAAAACTATTGGTCTAATGGTGCAATAATTAAGTTTATTTCTATAATTTATAACAAGACTACACTCAACAATTATTTGTACTAATGGATGGTGAACTGGTTATTGGAAATTAGATAATTTATTCAAGTAACTGTATTCGTTGTTGATAGTATTGAGTTCTCTGAACTAGGTTCTCATCAACTCATTACAATCTATAATATTCAAAGATCAAAACTGTGAAGTAGATTGGAAATTATTATGGTACATATCTGAATAAGGTTAAGAGATGGAATAAAATATTACGATGTCACATGGAGAATACTCGAGAACACTGGAAGCAAAACAACAGACCAAAGGGGCTAGAAATAAGTGATAATGTAGTGAACAAAATCTCAAAAGAAGAATAAAATAAATGAAGCTAAGCCAGTTTGAAGTAAACTTATCGAAAAAGAAAAGAACCAGGAAATGATGTGAGGAAGTGATCAAATGAAGGAACCTTGACGCTTTCTTTTTGAACTCGAATCAAATTTTTATGCTTGATAGCAGAAGCCTTGGGAGATTTTAGTAGACTAGAGTTTGGCTGCCTACTAACCAATTTGGAATCACATAAAGTCCGCCTAGAAGTTACTGCACTACTACACATCTTTATTTTTATTGAACGAAGACTTCTCGGAATATGATCTGAAGACTCTTTGCTAAAGCAAATAATGCCTAGTAGAGAAATTCCCAGGAGTCTCTCAGATACAGCACATCAAATGGAACCGTAGTGCCAATACAGACATAATTGTTGCTAAAACGAAAGAGGTATCTGTCAATCTTTGATTGCACATGCTTTACACGAGATTATTAGTTTGGCTTAGGGGTAGATTTTATCACATCCAATGCTAAGTTTTCCGTTAAATTTCTTCGCTACATTTTGACGGATCGAAACTCAGATGGATAAAGGCGGCTCCTTCCAATGACTAGCTTCTTTCGGATTGTCCTTAGCTTTTTTATGTCTAACAATAAGCATCATATCCGGGATTTCCAAAATAGAGTATGCGACAAATTTCGCAAAACTGTAGAGGACATTTTTGAAAGAACAACTATATGATTTTTAAGTAATAATTAAAATTTCTTGCAACCTATTGAGTTGAAAACTAAACAAAATAGAGAATGAAGCTGCATATGGATTCGAATTTCATATCCTATAAGACTATTGACAAAATTGATGCTAGAGATCAATAAGCAAACTTTTTAACAGGTTGAAGGGCTGGAATTCAGTAAATGAGGACAATAAGAGTTGGTTTAAATATAAATTAGTCGATATTGGTAACCACTACTTTACCTCACCCACTTCAGACTTGAGAATACTGTCTAATGAACACGAAATTTGATTGCTACACTTACAAAACAAAGACAAGATAATAATATTGCAACCAAATAAAGATTACAAAAATTAAGTTCATTTTAAGTGACTAGCATAGACAAATATAGCAAACTTGACTGCTTCAACTGAGAAACGAATCACTGACAACTCTATGTATAGTTATTAAAGACCTCAGTGGTTTTATTTGCCATACATGAATGGTATATCAAAGATACATATATCGAACATCCCACTCAGACCTATATAATTAATGATTAATTCAGCATGACAGAAGATAGCCCACTATCTAGCAGAGATGTGAGAATCATTTCATCAACAACTAACTGTACACACCTTGAAGAACGCTATTTGATCTGCTGATAACATTAGCATCTCTAGTAAATTAATTACTTTCTTTGTTACAATATCCTTTTTTACCAAAATAACTCTTCTTGAAACCACAGACGTTAGGTGTAACAATTCTGAACTTTTGTATTTATCAGTAACAGAGTTCAAATAATTGCTACTTATATCCATGTAAAATGGTCACTTTCACCGACACGCTGTATAAAATTTTAATAACATATATAGAATTAAATATACAGAAAATATTTCTAATTCTACTTTTAATGGCAACAGTAGGAAGTTGTTTCAGTGAACGAAGATTATTCAAATTAACTACACAAATTTTTCAGATACTAAGTAATTTAATTTAGGGAGTAAAATAAGAGAAATCTATCCATCACTATAGACTAACTACTAAAGATAAATAATATTGTAATTTATATTTGACTGAAAATGAACAAATTACACAATAAAAGAGTAGTAATCCACTATACATATGTGAACATATAAGCATACGAAGTGTTAGTCTTTGTATGCATTCATTTTTTCTGTAATATTTTGTACAATCTCCTGTACTGGTTTAACTTGTCCATAATAGTCGGAGAATTGTCCTTTTGGATCCAGTAAGTACATTATAACAGTATGGTCAACCTATCGGTATTAAATGTGAACAAACCATAAATATAATTTAAAGTAACATTGTGGTGTAGGCTACTTATATATATATATATATATATATATATATATATATATATATATATATAACAGTGGTCAGGTATAGAATGTTATTTCAGCAGAAGATCGATAAGGAAAGAACGAAACGGAACACAATTGGTATGAAAATTCATGGACAATGAAATCTGAGACAATGGACTGATATTTTGTAAATTAACTATTTACTATATGGTTCTCTGTAATTTCGTGTCAAATACATTCGATTGTCCTCATTCGTGTTATTGTTCACTACAAAATCTCAGATCTGTGACAAAAACATTAAGAGCTTAAAAGCCAGCTCCAGAAACTTTTATTGATCGTTTCTTAAGTTGAATTAATTAAGATAGACCAATGATAGTAAGTTTGACGGAAAAAATATACTTGTCCAGTGTAATGAAGATTAATTCTTGATGTTTGTATTTACCGATAAGTGCACATGAGTTGTTCCCATACGTTAACTGATTCATATAAGAAAATAAAGCATTCAAACGGACACATAGTAGAATCCACATTTTCCATTTAAATAGTAAGTTTTTTGCAGGTACAAAAATCCCGGCAATTTGAAACAATCTTAATATTCAACAAACTTGCTTAAGAACAGTCTACATAGATAAGTTTTGAATAGACATGAACTACACAGAACACGTACCACCGAAAAAGTGAATGGATTTGACAAGATGCAACAGAATTTTCATTTTTTCTACATACATAACGACATGACATACACGTCTTTCACGTACACAGACATCAAGAAAACCGATCGAAGATGTGGTTTAATGTGGTTGAAAACCTCTACTTTCAACCAAGTCATACGGTAACTCAACAATGAGAACACAAAATTGAGATCGTTTATGAATTTGCAGTAAATAAACGGACATAATAAAATTGATCTTTTTACACAGTGACATTAAAATATCAAGAAAAACTTATGTTTTGAAGTATACTTGTGCGGAAACAGATATCGAATGTAACTTTTAAGAAGAAAAACAGCTTTATCTGTCTAAAACAAAGAGATTTTGGCATGATGCCTATGAATCATAAACAATTTCCCCTGTGGAGATTAAAAACAAACCAACGATAAATAAAAAAAGTGACGATTATAAATTGGACTTTATGGTATATAGTGTGCAAACTGGTTGACTCCTTACAAATGTTACTGCATGTGGCTGTCTGACTGATATGCTATGATCAAAAGATTAAGCGAATGAATTATTTAGTTTCAAATTTAATTCAATCAAGTGTTTGCACAGTCCAACTTGACAGAAGAACAAATATTCATTTCTTTATTCTTTTGTTTATTTGTTTATTTGAACATATAAATATTGGTATGAGGGGGGCACCAAATATATGCGCCAAACAATAAAAATGAGATTGTGAAGAGGTGGGAAATGGAAGGTCAATATATTAAAAAATGAAAAGCAACAATGAACGAAAATTATTGTCTGAGTGAAATTATTATTGTCATTATTATCATTATTATGAAGATGTTGTACTACAATTTGGTGGGGGGTGAAGATATGATCAATATATCTTAGACGGGGACGAAAACCAGCCTGCTTCCCGTGGGTCAGTTTTTCTCGGGTTTGGAAAATCTAAGAAGTATGACGTAAGCCATTAGTTTAGATGCAATCGGAAGTAGACTTATCCCCCGATGATTGTCTAGATGATGTGAACCGTTTTTAAAAATAGGGACAACTATCAACTCATCCCACAACGTTGAAACACTGTAATTGCCAGACACTTGTAAATAACCCAGTTAGTTTATTAACCAGGTCTCCACCATTTTTAAAAAGATTGTATCTTTTCGTTTCTACAGCAATTTGGATGACTCCTGGTCTCCCAAATTGTACGAGCATTCCATGTACCTAAATTAATGGTTGTTTTGGTTGTCGGAAGGGGCATCAGCCTCGTGACTTCCGAAGGAACTCGGCTTTCATCATGAGGCGTCATAACTCTTCTAAATGAAGATCTTTTAACTCCCAGGGCAAAGTTTAAATGGTTTGAATTAGTTTTTCTGGTTAGCAATTTTTAGCTAGTTAGTTTTCTACGGGATAGGGTCGCAAACCGTATGCCCGACCGTCCCCGTTTATCCAGACTTGGGACCGGTAGTAACCCCAGAGGGGCTCCGGCAGAGTTATTTTTAAAAAGAGCCGGAGTTAAGTCAATCAAGCCTGGTTATTTGTGGTGCTTCAAGATTTGGCGTTCTCTAAAGACTTCTGCCTCGTTAGGTAGATCAGTCGTTACCTGTCATGAAGGGCAGGAAAGTCTGGTCGACGTCACCGAGGCAGTGGACCAGTTGAACTTCTCGAAAAACTCGGTTCATCGTCCAAGACGTCGGCAGATGTTGTTGATTGGCATCTCATCAGCTTCACAAATTTTTTCCACGCACGTCCGATTTCTTGCTGCCAGTTATTTGAAAGCCACTGAACACCAAAAACCCAAACACCTCCACAATTTCATAAAACCAAGACCATTTATCAATACTTTAAACACTAATTCATCATATATGCTACTCGTAACACGCATTCAATGTACTGAATAACCATTAAACACCAAAAAACTCACGATATAATCGCCATCTGCATCTTTTGGTCCTGCACTGTAATAAATACGATAGAGCTTAGAAACTTTATCAATTTCTTCTTTAGTACCGGTCAGCCCAATCAGATGTGGTGAAAATTCTACAGCCAAAAACGAGAAAGAAAACATAGTTTTTCATTAAAATAAGATCTTACCACTTACAATAACAACATTTAATTAATCCCATTATTATCCAGTTGACCCAGTTACAGAATTTACTATAGCCAATTATACAGTGACTCTGTTATTACCTATTGTACTCATAAAACGCAATATGTTGACACTGTATATAAAATTGTAGGGCTTTAAAATAGGAGTCAGTGCGTCACACTTGATGAAAGCATTGCATATAGTAATACGTACGAATTTAGGCAATACTAGGAACCAGATATCATGGCCAATACTCACCAAATAAGATAATTGCTTATCGGGTTCCCCTAGTATAATAGCTTAAGTGGGAGTATTGGTTGTAAAAGATTACAATCAATTAAGACTCTCGACAGAATTAGAATTATTGTGATGACAGTAGTGAACAACTCATTTCTACTGGTTTTTTATGTCATGAAAATTTTGGTACAATAGGACACCGAAAGGAATATATTATACAGGATGCACCACGCTAACAGCTTATTACGAATGATGCCTTATAATTTGCAAATTTTCATTTTAAGAAAAGGTAAAATCAATAATATCCTTCAAGTGCTTGGTTTAAAACTACTCAAAACATTGGTTGAAGACATGAATAAGATTATGATTTCACTTAATGCACAAGAGATAACTAAATTCAACCAATGGTTTGTCTCTGATTAAATATTATTAACTGTGGTACTTCGAACGGTAACCTTTTGAACAAATGAGCTGTTTTCAGGTTTTATAGTTTTTTTCTATTTGTCTTCACTCCTGCTACAGTGAATAAACGAATGTAAATAGTGACGAATCGCTTTTAGGTAGGAAAAATGATGGTTGAAATTTCATCTTTTTGTTCATGATTGGAATTTGACTAACAATTTGTTATATGTAATAATATAATATGAAATGCTAGACTTTGGATAGTTAAAATTAATCTGCATTAGGACCCATACTCGGGTATTATAACTGTTCATATTCACCAGTAAGATTTATATGCAATTTTCGGCTTCATAAGTGATCAAGGATTTTACCATACACTACTAAAACAAAAGTGGAATGCAGTTTGACGCGCGTTTCGTCCTATTGGGACTGGTCAGATGGATGTACCTGCATCTCAGAGTTGATGTTCACTGTGGGACTCGAACCCAGTACCGTCCGCTTCAAATGCCATCGCGTTATCCACTTAGCTACAGAGTCCTGATAGCCACTTGCTTGTGCAATCGGGTGAAGTTTATTTCACTTGATATTGTTTTACTTGAATCTTCCCATTGATGTTTAGCACTGCAATTGATCAGTCTCTCATATTGGCATATGTGCATACTGTGCGTATTGCCTCGATATTGCGTTAATTTACAAGCATTATAAGCAAAGATGGATAGTGGCTAGCAGTGGAATGCAGTTTGACGCGCGTTTCGTCCTATTTGTGACTGGTCAGCTGGATGTACCTGCATCTCAGAGTTGATGTTCACTGTGGGACTCGAACCCAGTACCGTCCGCTTCAAACGCCATCGCGTTATCCACTTAGCCCCCAAATGCCCTGGTACGGTCGAGAGTGGGGAGAGTCCGCTCTCCCTCTCGAAATGCTCTCACATGGCCATGTGTATATAGCCTCTGCCAGGGAAGTCCTACTCACTGCCTTCTCTTGTTTACAAAAATGAGAGGACGAAAAGCGAATGTCTGGCGCTTTAACCGGACCCCAAACCAATGGTGCACATGGGCTCCAGTATCCTGCGAGAACAAATGGCGTATGAACCAATCGTTGGTCACCGGCTACCATGGGACTGCATCTCCTCAAGATGCTCCACTGCCTTGTGGGTCAGACGTTCAGGTCGAAGGCTCGGGGTGTGGCCCCCTAAGAAAACCACCTGCTTCGGTTTTGGCACCCGAGCAGTATCACAGCCCTCACACAAATCAATTGAGATTCGTGTGGCGCATATGTACTTGGTGCCTCTCTGTACCTATACTTATGTGTTAAAATAAATAAATAATAATAAATAACTAAAACAAAACGTGTTACCACTGAACGGCTTAAGATATTACAACGAAAATAAGTATCTTGCGAAATGATACAAGAGTCCTGTAAAATTAACAACCCTTTGATTATTGTTAAATAGTACATTAAAATACAATAAATCTAAGATGAAAACTTATTACCTTTAACGTAATTGGCTAAAATATCTGGGGTATCACGTTCACTGTCGACAGACATGAATACAGGTACTAAGGGATACTTGGGTTTTTCAATAAGCACTGTAAGAAAAAGCATATTTGTGATGTTTAAAGAACTGGTAATATTAAAATATTGGATGGGTCGATAGTTTATAAAACTGAAAAACTAGGTTTCACAATGAGTGCAACAACCACTATCTTAATTCAAGTTTTTACAGAAAGGAAAGTTTTAATGAAAACTAAAAAATGATGCTCATTTAAGTATTTTTAGTTTTTGATATTTCCTTAACTGATGTTTGAAAACTTAGGTGTAAAGCTGCCAAATGGTTTGATTTGGTATTTTTTATACATACGAGACGAGATAACTAGATTAGCCCATTGTGTTATTGAATAAAACTAGAATCCGGTGAAGAAATTTTTCTTTTCTTCATGTCTGTTTAGTGGACAATCGTCGCCCATATTTCTAACCTGCAAATTATTTTCATCCTCAGATGAAGATTTGTAGCTCATTTGGATGATTTAGGTGGGGTTCGATATCAGATGCTTTTAGTATTCCCTCTATCTAAGATCTTAACATCTTCGCTTATATCAAAGCATGTGGACAACTGTGGACACAAATCTGAGAAGTTTTAAAAGCTTGACGGTCAGGTTGATCAGTAATTGAAATCGATCCAATCTATTAACCAATCAGGAAAACCATAGACAAATATAGGACCAACAATCAAATCAAATCTAGATACAATCAAAATAAGCAGGTAGACAATGAGAAGTTAAAGGTCAACAATAACCAATCAAGACCAAGGTCGACAGGATAAGCTGTGTCATACGTAAAGAAGTTCAAACGATTCATGTTACCTGAAGTTTGTGCTGACGTTGTACAGAAGAACAATCGAAGCTGCATGGCCAAACCATCCAGCTCAAAGAACAAAACTCCAACTATTTTCATCCTCCTATTCTTTTCTAACCCCTTGATCATTAGGCAACCTTTTTTAACATTTGAAATCTAGGATCACTTCATAATTTAATCACTCTATCCTTCTATATACATATATATCAAGCAACTATAAATACGAATATACAGCTTAAATGTTATGTTTGAAGCGACTACGAGTTCACCTAGTCTGCGAACGGAACAAGACTGTGACCAAAGACCAATAGGCTAGCTATTCTGATGCGTCTCAGTCCCGCTAACTAGAGAAGGAAGTTCAAGTTCGAACGGGAAAATATATTCCGCAAGCAGCTAGAAGCATGAGCAATCACGACAAGTCTAGTCGAAATACATTCATTTATATATTGGTTTGCACACCCATTTCTTGATTAATCAGAATAAAATCACATATGCGAAAAATACCTAGTTATAACAAATCATATGCTGAGTACAGTTCATGTTGACTTGATACAAGAATATCGTATGTTATACAGAATAAAATGTCATAGGGGAAAACGAAACAAATACTATACTGAGTGATCATCAAATTGAATTAAACGGAATTAATGTTGAATAAAAATCATAATGAGTAAATTAATCTAATTTTGACTTTTTATCACGTCATAACATTAATCAAATGATTTTGTCGAATAGGATGATGTTTACCCTAAAACAATTGAGTCCAATTTCCACAAAACAGAAATGTTTTGTAAATATTATAGCTTGTAGATAATCAAATGATTTGAACAACAATACACCACACAAGAATGACGATAATTTGGTGGATAGATAGTCTATCATCCTAGAGTAAGACAATGTCACCAGTATTACCTTTAAATAAGTACCTTAAAAAGCGATCTTATTTAGTCTTTACGAAAATAAATGATTACCATCACTTTATCATAACAGTACAAAAATAACATTTCGAACAAATGAACCTTTTTGAGTAGACCTAAAATCCCGAAATACGTTTTGGTTGAAGTATGAAAAACCTAAGGAAAATATGAGAAAAACCTATTATTTATTTATTTATTTGAACACATAAATATTGGTATAGGGGGGCACCAAATATATATGCGCCACACCTATTGACTCAATGTGATGCCAAAATAAACAATAATATTAATGAGATCAGCTGTTAAGACCATAGAACTACACTAAAAAAGATCGCGAAATTACATACTATGCAACAAAGCTGGTCACATGTAATAAAATTACTTAAACTTATTTCTTTAGCTTACTTATTTTGTCAGATACTTCCACAAGTCTCTCTATCTGTTCTGGGCATATATCTGGACATCGGCAGAACCCAAAGTACAACAGAACCCATTTTCCGCGAAAATCAGCCAATTTACATGGGTTTCCATTATGATCAACCAAATTGAAATCGCCACCAATAGATGGCAAACCATATTTTCCTTCTGATAATTTTTTGGCTAAAATGTTAGGAACAATAAGTTGAACGTTCGCGACAGTTGATTGTGATTTTTAATCACCATCCAACAGTTTAAAAATATTCAGTAAAGTCGACATGTAAATTTTGAGAAATTGGCAGATGGAACCCATAAACAGGGTTATTCACTAATCGGGTTAAAAATAATCTTACCGTGATGCTGAAGTACATTTATAAGATTCAAAAGTATTCGATTAACTGTGTGAAGACCGAATAAGTTTGAGAAATAGGTGGTAGACAGAAAGATGAGTAGAGTTACTTATTATCAGCAAAAGATGTATAATGGTGTTTTATTAGCTTAAGCAACCAATTTCCAACAAATTAGTTGGTTTTAATTCTATCCCCCTTCCAGATGGGTAGTCAGTTAGTATCGTTAATCCTCATTATAAATGGGGTTACAGTATATAAAGTATAAAAGTACCCAAAAAATACACTAAGTTATACACTGCAAATAGCAACATGGAACTAATGAACTATTGAGATATTCACAATGCAATATATTATAACCAAACTTGATTAACCCGGACTACGTCAAAAGTTTTATATTCGCCTGCATATAATGAATTCAAGAGTTGGTAGTCCAAATTTGAGCATCACCTGCAAGGAGCTGAAACAAATAACTGTTTAGTAAAACCAACATTGTCGACTCTATACATTGGGCTACTCACCTTAAACAAAACCTGATTAATTTTCAAGATTTTTCACCTTATGGTTTCGTCATAAATAAACGTTTATAAGATACTGTATCAACCACCCAAAATATATTTACTACTTATTATTCATTTGAATATAAATATTGGTACAATGCGGTACTAAAACATATATGCTCCACAAAAATCTGTGAATGTGTGGCCTGGAATACGGTGTGAGTGCCAAAACTGAGGCAGGTAGTTTTCTTAGTGGGCCACACCCAGAGCCTTTGACCTAAATGTCTAATCCACAGGGCAGTGGAACAACGCTAGGAGGTGCGGACTCATAGTAGCCAATGACCAGGAATGGGGTCAGACACCGTTTACCTTCTTAGGATCCTGAAGCCCATGTGCACCACTGGTTTGGAATCAGGGTTTTCCAACTCTCTAAGATGTGTATTTCGTAACTATAAACGCTGTTTATGTACCGAAAATTCGCACCTTAAGTCATTCACCTCCAATGGCAATGTTGTGACTGTTAACATAACATCAAGGATTACACAAAAAGTAAGATAACAAACAAAGCCGCATATGCTTACTCTGCACCCGATGACATTATATAGCAGTGAATGAAATGGATCAATGACAAAACAAAAATTTTAATTAGTATACTTAGATTAACAAAATTAGTCACTAACCTTTTGCGAGGTCTTTTGTCAGTAAGACTGAGCCTACAGTGAATGACCCTACAAGGACAACGAAAGAGTACCACTGTATATAACGCATCCTCTGGAAAGTAGACACTGATAGTATGAAAAGAGGCCTACATTTTCTGGACTAAGAGTTGACTTGAACCTGGCAGGAATGAAGCTTCGAGACAAAAGTTTGCTGAACGTTTTGATCATTCCCATTAATTAAGTTTACCTCGACACCCCAAAAAACTTCGAGCAATAAGAGAAAACACGCATATCTCATTGATTCGTATTTTGCGCACAGCGATCACCTTCAAATGGTTCAAATGGTTGTGGATGGAAAAGAAGAAACTTTCGCTTAACAGGCTTCCGTGTCCAGTATCAGGGGATCGCTTATACCTCCAAGCAGGAACCTAGGCATATTAACGATAAAAGAGAAAAAAAGAAATTGGTAAATCATAGTAAGATAATATCCTTAGTCCTTAAGAATAGATCAAAACGCCTCTTAGAGGGCTCCTGGGAAGTCGCTTGGACTAGCTCAGCCGGCAGCGAATTCCAGCATTTGAAAACTCTTAAGGAGTGGAACTTATGCCTGCAGTCCGTTCTGCTATGTTGAATCTCCAATTTCTGGGTGTTACCCCTTAGGTTAGTGTTGGTACTAAGCTTAAGTAGGTGTTTAAGAGGATGTCCAGCTGTGTTAAGGATACTGCAAGCCATCAGAAGGTCACCTCTAAGACGCCTGTACTCTAATGCGTAAAGATTAAGCGATTGGAGGCGCTCATCGTAAGGTTTAAATTTGAGTCCCCGAACTGATTTCGTGGCTCGCCGTTGGATACGCTCCAGAGTGTCCTTATCCTTTTGGAGTGTAGGAGCAAATACTATGTTTCCGTACTCTGAATGGGGACGAATGACACTATTGAAGATTATGTGGAAGGTTCTTCCGTCAAACTGACCAAAAATGCGCTTCAGTGTTACCAGTGCAAGGTTTGCTCGAAAGGCATTTCTGTCACAGTTAGCGTAAGACTTTAAGTCGTAGGGCACCAGGACTCCTAAATCTTTTTCGACTCAGGATACTACTAGAGGATTTTTCGAAGTTATAACTGTAGTATGCGATGTGCCGCAGATGGACTACTTTATACTTTGAAGTGTTAAAGGTAAGTCCGTTGTCGTCTGCCCAACTTTAGAGTCGAGTCAGATCCTCCTGAAGTGCCTGTACATCCTCTTGGTTGCGTATCTCTCTCCAAAGTTTCACGTCATCGGCAAAAATTAATAAGTCTGACGTTATCTGTTGAGGAAGATCGTTTATATAAATCAAGAAGAGAAGAGATTCTAGTACTGAGCCCTGGCGGACCCCCTTCAGAGGTGCGATTTTCAATAAGCTTGTGTCAAAGTAATGTAAACTAGCCAAATTCACCCCGTTTGTGTCTTAACATGAAAAGGAAGCTTCGAGTCTTTTAGTTTTCTAATCTGCCTATTTTAGGGGAAAATTTCATCCGTTTTGGGGAAATTCGGGGAAATGGCACAAAAACCCCAAAATTTCCCCATATTTGGGGCAATCACGAAAACTTTAGGGAGGACGATTGGACTCTGGGGAAACCCAAAAATTTACCCAAAATAGGGGGACTGGGTTGGTTCATAATCATAACCTACCAATTTCGGGTCAAATCGATCATTTTTCTGTAATGCTTGAGACCGTTCTGTGGAAGATTCGGGATGAACATTGGGAAAATGCGATGAAACTGGAAGTTCCTCAAGCTGTGAATTTTTCCAAAACTTCGCCTGAACTACACGCGAAATGTTCACTCTCACTGAGAAAACGCCATGAACTACTAGTAAATAATTCACAAATTTTTAGTCATTGTGGAGAGTTTAACTGCATTTCCTCATATCCAAAACTATTACAGAAAATCCTTACTGACCTCAAAGGCACTCTGAATTTCATACGTTTAATCCAAATATAAAGATGGATGCATGGAGTTTTGCCCAGAATATTTTATAATCAGTAGAGAAAGGAGTTTCTAGTAATGTCCTTTAGAATAACAACTGGTTTTTTTCCAGTTGCTACAGTGAAACTAGCTTGCGCTTATAAAGCCCTTATTGTCTAATATTGCCTTCTAAACTTTCTTTTATGGGACGTCACTGGATCAGTGAACGTAATACAGGTAAACTTTCTTATAAACACTTTCTATATACTACATGTTAATTATAATTAGCTATCAAAAGACATCTTGCCTCACTTTCTTGTTTTCCATTCACTTACTAGCTCTCATTCCCATATAAATGGCTCCCGCAACAAATCATGTGTGATAATTTGTAGAAAGAAGGTAAACGATACCGAGATGTGATAACAAGCTAGTGAAATAAGTGTATGAAATCTATGTACTACCAATACTGATTGAGTGGTGGTCGCCATTGACAGCAGACGAAAATGTTCAAACAATGGATGAGTTAGTAATTCTGTATCACGTTGAGGAAACCGAACTGTCACGTTTGCTTCAATAAATTGATCATTCCAACATTACTGTGGAAGTTGATTCTGGGCGGAATTTGATATTACATAATAAGTCTATTAGTTAACAGTCAGAGGAAAACATCTTTGTATCATCGAAATATTATAGCTTAAGTGTTCACTTAATTTATCGTTCTGCGTAGGCATCATATTTCCTTTTATTCTGCATTGAATGTTGGAAAACTTTTGTGTTTGTTAAAAAAGAACCTTGCATTCCAACTGTTCGGTCTCACAATCCAAATAAAAAGCTGTTCATCCGCTAGCTTGGATCCTTGTGTAGATAAACTGGGGTAGCTGCCACCACTATACTGACCAGCTCAATTATGAACACAAAAATTATTTTTTCACATTTTTTATCTTTCCGTAAAAGTAAACCATATTGTCTTTAACATAAATTTCATCTATATCTTTTCATCACAATGTGTTCCTGTTGGAATCATCCTTTTACGCCGTTTGTATTATAAGAATACACTGGTCATATACCACATATCAAATCCAATTCAAAGCCAAGGCCTTGAAGATAGGTGTATTTGCCACCAATAGAGACAGACACTGTTATGGCTGAAAAAGCCCGACTCCCAGACTTGCATCATAGTGACCCCAAGTTGTGATTTGCTCGATAAGAGCTTTATCTCACGAGACAGAATTGGAACTTATCTCTATCCTCCCTCCTATCATCAGGTTAGTTTGCGACATAATTTTCAGTCCCCCAACGCCACCACAATAAACTATTCTAAGACGTAAGGTAAAAAACTGCCAGTTTTTTCAGATGGTCAAATAATCCAAAGGCTTTTTTCAAAGAGAAACATCAGCTGAGCGGTCACCATCACAGTCCTTAAGTTGCCTCCAATTCTTAGAGGATGGTAACACCGTTTTTGATGGAGTTTTGTTCTCTGAGCTGGATGGTTAGGTCGTGGAGCTTTCATCGTTCTTCTGAACGACATTATCAGCACAAACTTCAGATAGAAGTGAAGTGTTCGAATTTCTCCATATGCGTTTCACAGCTTGTTTTGTGCACCTCGATGTTGATTGGTTCTCATTGACTTTAAATTTGTTATTGTTTACTTTTTTGTTTTGGTTTCGTCTCTTATTGGTTTGATTCTTGTTCCTATATTTGTGCATAAGTTTCCTGATTGTTTGATAAATCGGATCGATTTCAATATGTTTGCTGATTGCTGATTGACCTGAGTGCCGGGCTTCCAAAAATTCTCTTGTGTTTTTAGAATTTCCTCTGTCCAAGATTTCCACATTTTCCCAATCGAATGTGTGTCCGCAGTTGTCCACGTGTATTGATATAAGTGTGGAGATATCATGCCATTTAACTCCTAATTGATGTTCATGTAGGCGCAGGAGAAGGGGGCGTCCGCTTTGTCCGATGTAGTGTTTGTTGCAGTTGACACAATTTATTTTGTAGATGATGTTTGATTTATCTTCTTTTGTTATTTCATCCTTTGGTTTGCATGGGATTGACTGTAGTGATTTTGTCGGTTTGTGTGCCACACCTATCCAGAAGGTTTTTAGCAGCTGAGCAATGTGGAGGAAAAATGGTACACCTAATAATAATAGATGCACACTAAAAAATCCGCAAATATCAAAACATCAGAGAGGAACAAAAGATGAAGCTACAAAAGACACTCACGTCAAAACATTTAAAAATCTTGACAACAGCCATCGAGATATCATGCAAACGACACAGAGAACAAAGAAGAAACAACCTAAAGAAAAAACTAATCAAGATCTTAAAAGCACCCAGGGGATAAAACACAAACAACTGCGTGATCAATCTATCAAAACAACCACTAACAAACACGGAAGAACACCTACTCCAAAAAGGATTAAACCACAACACAAGCGACGCCTCAAAACTAGAATTCTTCGCAGCATTAAAGTCGTCACTCAAAACTTCTGGATTCCGTGAGGAAACACAACAAGAAATAAAGCAAACTATAGTACCGCTAACGCAACAGGTGAAGGAAAACAACCAACTGACTCCGCAAGAACGAAAAGCCTTGAAGGAACTTAGAACTAGAAAGGATATTGTCATAGTTCCAGCAGACAAAGGACGCACAACAGTAATTATGGACAAGGAGGAATACCTCAAAAGAGTCGAACAACTACTTGAAGATAAGATCACATACAAACTGATAGATATAAATCCTGTCAAGAAATTGGAAAACAGAATCTCAAGGACATTAAACAAACTAGTCAAAGCAGGAGAAATAACAAAACAAGAACAATGGAGAATGAAATCTAATGAACCAGTATTCCCTCGATTCTGTAGAAGACCAAAAATGCACAAACCAAACATTTTATTGCGTCCAATTGTGGCACTGCCCGGAACGCCAACATACAATTTATGAAAATAAATTTCATGAATACTGAAACATTTAGTCGATTCATCCAACCACTCTATCAAATTCCCCACACAATTCCTGGACCAAATTAAGGACATTCAAATCAACAACGACGAACTGATGATATCTTTCGATGTAACAGCATTATTCACCTGAATTGAACCGAGGTTAGTCAATCCGATTTATCAACCAATCAGGAAACTTATGCACAAATATAGGAACAAGAATCAAACCAATAAGAGACGAAACCAAAACAAAAAAGTAAACAATAACAAATTTAAGGTCAATGAGAACCAATCAACATCGAGGTGCACAAAACAAGCTGTGAAACGCATATGGAGAAATTCGAACACTTCACTTCTATCTGAAGTTTGTGCTGATAATGTCGTTCAGAAGAACGATGAAAGCTCCACGACCTAACCATCCAGCTCAGAGAACAAAACTCCATCAAAATCATTCATTTGAGCTACAAATCTTCTTCACCATCTCTTGGTAACACGGTGGACGAATCAACACTAAGGCAAGGATGGGCGCAGAATTTCCCACGTTACATCGAACATTCTTCATATAATCAAGACTCGGACACATCCTTACCTCATTAGCACATATTATAGACAGAATAAAGGAGAGAGACCTCTCAACGAGATCACGTACGCTACATCATACGCTAAGAAAAATATATCAAAAGACTAAGTCACAGCGCAACGTTCCACGACGACCATCTCCAAAATACGAAAAGATCATAAAAACAAGAGCAGGTCAAAAAAGTTCTGACGACCTGGGCAGTTCTGTTGATATAACTAGGATTCTGGCTCCAAATAAACTGTGTCTAGTCGATAATGTGGCTAAAATAGACTCCTAAGTATATGGGAGACTAATAACCCCTCTGAAAGTCACGATTACTGATGAGGGGCACCTGGACAGTCGTTGTTTTATGTTAGACAGAAATTCAGGCCTAAAGGTTTCGGAGAATTCAGTGCTGCACTAAGTATTATCCCCCAGAGTAATAAACAACTCGAACGAAAAATTCTTTCAGCTAAATTCCAAGCTGACAACAAAACTGAAGTCACGACATCTAAACAGAAGAGGTTGATGCTAGACTTAAGTTCTAAGAAGTGATATCTCTGGGTGCCGACTGTAACAGGTTTAGGTCTCGCAACAATGGGAATTGACTTGTAGTGATATTGAACCCTACCTACACGATCTTTGAAGCTGAACATGTAATTACGGAAAAGATCTCCATTCAATATGTTACACTTATGGAAGTTCATTTCAACAATTGATAGATTCGGCAAGGTTCAGCCTTATTGGTGTGGTCGCTCTATAACGTAATCCTCTCCATATCAAGTATATTATTCCATCCCCAACCTGGACGTGTTCCTTCAGTGGTCCCGGACATCATACTGCTGATTTTAACGTAAGATCCTACAGACTAAGTAGTCACATCATGACAACTCTACAATTTGTGGATTAGGTCTGTTGTCATAGTAGCAAAAATAAGTGTACTGATACCGAACTAAACCATAATTCGGCAGTGTTGGTACAATTTTCGCAAGGTAGTTATCCAGGATTATTAATCGTAATTATAATTTATTCTCAGATAGCAGTCTGTTACATGAGGCATGCCAGTTTATAGGCAAGATCAAATTGTTACAGAAGATACAGTCTTCACTGTGGTGGGTTACTCAGTTTGTTTGATGTTTTATAGGGTATATTGATCACAAAACTGTTAAGAGCCTCCTCAGTTTTAGCAGTGGTGTAGAATGAATGTAATTGATACATAAGAACTTGCTTTTAAATTCGGACAAGTTACTCCAAAATATTTAGGCACTGAGTTAACGCAAGACATTATGAAGGAAGAATATATTTGTGAAATTTCAGAGATTGAATTTCAAGTATACATAACATTTAGCCAGGCAGTCTGGTCCAGGCGTAGGAATACCTAAAACAATCGAACTAAGTTACATAGAGTAGTTAACTCTTTATTACATTCTTGAGAAACATAAATAATCTTAATCTAGTTTGGTTTCATGAATGGAATATTTATATTTTGAGCATATCCATAGATGTCATACTCCTCAAAGCATTTTCAATACGTTGCTCCAGAAACTGTAATAAATCTGTAGAGCACATTTTAATAACAATAATATTTTATTCTCAAATAACAGTTTGTTTCATGAGACATGCCAGTTTACAGGCGAGATCAAATTGTTACAAATGATACGATTTCCACTGTAGTAACTTACCCGGCTGGGTTGATAATTTATAAGATATGAATATAGATGGTTTTAGTCAATATCACAGTTGGCGCGCTTCATGAAGGCTGAGTTGCGACGTGCAACTGATGCTCGATAATAGATTCATGTGAAGTTTAGGGCTTCTAGATATCGCGATCTTATATCCCTCTGGAATATTTGAGGCTTTAAGGATGGTGCGGGACGAGGTCACCCGTCCCGTATCTTAAGTGGGCTGAAAAACGGTGAAAGAAAAAAGGAAAACAAAAAAAGACGAGAAGCAGAGCAGACAATGTTCATGAAGAAATAGTTAAGGTATAACTACTCAGTCCCATTCTCTTTTATTAAAGTGTTTGTTAGGCAGGAGCATCCTAATAAGTTAAAGAAAATAAGTGTAGACAAGGTATGAGTGGATAAACAACTGACAAATGGAAGTGGTTCAGAAAGAAACTGAGAGTATGAGAATATGTATAGTCATAAAATATAATGCTAAAAGCAGTGTTATGATACACAAATGTCTGTCTCCCTTTTTTTGTCGACGCTATTAAAGTTTTTTTAGATTTTATAGGGTCTTGAGTAGGCTTTGTTTTTTAGCAAATTGTCTAGTTTGCTTGTAATAGGATTACAGGGTAGGAAGTGAAAAAAATTCGACGTTCTAAACACGATTCAATGAAGTATATAGCATGATAAATCAGCATCAATACCACTAGTTCGTGACATTCCACCAGACCATAAGGAGCCGTAATCTAACAAAATGTTCTACACTACAGATTGAAGTTATTTCCATACCATCATGTGTGCTGGTCAGAAACGCCACCCCACCTCTTTTTGTGATGTTAGGCTCTCTTACGTTTGTGGTAAGTATGAATACTGCTTTAATCAAAGTCCATAGTTGGAATTCACTGTCTCTACTAGTTCCATGTTATAAGCGAATCAGATAGTTAAAGCGTTTTTATTATGGGTTAGACGTCCATTTAGTATATCACACTGCTATGAAGATAACTAATGGTGAAAGTTAAAAAGAAAAACAGGTTAGATTATATGTGTTTTAAATATAGTAAGGACTAAAAGCGAATCGAGGGATATGAAAGAGTATAAAATTGTAAAGTTTTTAGGTTAAGAAAAATAAAACATTGGGCAACTCATAAGACTTTATGATCAATTTTGAGCTTCGTGTGATCGGCATTGGTAGATCAGCATCCATAAGATTACTGAGTAATCTGTCTACTCGCAATAGAGAAAAAGACATGACATTAAGGAAGAATAATGTGTATTTAAACAGTAGACAGAATTGGGAACTGAAAGTGATGGTTAGGAGCATTAGGATTTGATTAATGGACAATGAATAATAGGAAACGGCAAACCATATGTCCTGTAATTTAGTTGTATTCATATTAGTGATAGTCGGGCGCTTTATATTCTCGTTCGGTCCAGATATTAGGCGGTCCATAATAAGTTGCTTCATATCTTCCCAGCCCCACCAGATTTTGGAGAAACTGAGGGATTCACATGACCAGACGTTGTTTCGCAATAGCCATGAGCCAAACCCGTACAAGGACTATTCGCCATTATTCTCTGCTCATCTGCTATCAAGTCTGACAAGTAATGTTCCAAAGCGTTTTGCGTGCACTGTGAACCCGGCATTCGAGCATCTGGTAATCCAGCTACATTGGGAAAACCTAATAAAATATAGTAAGGTATTTGAATAAAGAGAACAGAATGAGTTAGTAAAACTGGTTAGGTATAAGCGACATACGCAGCTGGCCACAAACCGTAGTTATTGTGATGATCAATAGGTTTAGTTCATAGCTTTGATCGAGGGAAATTCACAAATAGACCGTGTTTTCTGCCTTCAGGAAATATGATCAGTCTCAACATTCTTCCAGTAAATTAGTTTGAGCACAAAGCACAATTATATTGGCGGTATAATAGATATGCTTTTAGAAATGTTTGAATCGTGAGTAAGCTCAAGAAGTGACAGGCTTTGCCTGGTCATTATCGTTGAATGTTTGATACTTCACCACAGCATAGATAGCAATATTCTCAGTTTACTTGTGACAAAAAGAGACTAAAAAGATATAACTTCTTCATAAGTATTTTGTTTTATAATTACTGAGCATTAAAGCGAATTGTTATTTTCTGACAACTGGCTGTGAAACTACAAAGTGGTAAATTTTTAAAACGTTCTAATGTTTGAACTTAGTTCAATGACAATACCAGTCGGTAAAGAAACTTACGAAATGCTTTTTACCGTGGAAAAAAATTCAAAGGTTCGTGATTTAAGCAAGGAAGCAATTACCAGGTAGTATCACGAGCGATCGCTAAATAGGTATACTCTTATTAAGCTGTCAAATCATCTTCTAAGAATAAAATGGGTTGGTGGGTAGAGTTGCAAATATTTAGTTACAAACGAATCATAATTATTAACAAAAACTTTCTTGCCATGGAGTTTGAATTTTTGTCAGCCATATGTTTCTGATGATGTATAAACATCCTATTTCACAAAAATAATAGTTATGACCGTCAAACCTAATTCCGGTGACAAATATTCTACATGTTTTATTAGTGGATGAGTTCAATCCGGAACAGATTGGGCATAATTCATTTGTATATACTTACCAACATTCCATGAGGCGTGCCTCGGTTGAAGACCATAAAGTTGTATTACGGGTTTTCCCTTGAGTTCACTCGTATCTCGTTTTTCCTGATTACCAGAGTATGAAATGTGACGTTCTGTGGACTGGAATGATGGGTCGTTGCCGATACGCATAGGTGAAACAGCCGGTTCATTATCCGAGAGATTTATCCGACCTATTCTATTACATAACTGTTCATCTCCTAGCGGATAAGCCCCCCGATCATCTGAGGATCTCTTACAACAGTGTTGAAAGTCAGCACCTCCAGGTGAGTTCTTCATAACATTCAGTAAATTTGGTGGCTGAGTGTTGGACGATCGGTCACGTGAATGTTCTCTTGTTGAAGAAATCTTGTCCTCTGTCTCATAAGAATAACCTGGCACAATGCATGGACTAGGTAACAATCTTTGACTAAAATCTTTTTCATTTAAAAAAGACGCCCTTTCAGAGACTGTATGAAATGATTCCTCACTTCCAGAAAATGAGTTAGATGAAGCCACTCTTCCACTCACAGAAAAACTATCAAACGACCTGGTGAGACCCTGTTCATTAACCTGTGGAGAACATGGGGTGGCTATTATCACACCCGTGGGTTTAGACTGAAGTGTGGACACACTTCCTGATGATGACGATTTCACTACTTCCTTCATATATCGTTTGGTACGTTGTATATCTTGTGGCTTAATAGGAATATTTGATTTTTGAGGCCTCACCTTTCCTCCTGAAGACATATTTGGTCCATTAGATATCGAAGACTGGTGTGTTGTTGACGATTTCGGAGTTACATACTGAGGTTTGGCGACATGAATGTTCGGACATTTGTGATTCACTGGTAAGTAATCGGAGCTATTGGCGGAGTCCGATCGGGGCTGCATGATTGAAGACTTTGTGACATTCAAGGGCCATACAGGGGATGCGACATCAGAATTATTAACTCCCGAGCTTTCTGACTTGACTTTGTTCAAATGGATTGTGACATCATTCCTACCTTCACTCGTATTGCGTACAAACAAACGAGGGTATGGTTCGTCTGTACACTTTTTTGTGTACTTCCCAGTCACATTACTAAGACCAGGTAATTGTTCCAATTTTCGCTGCATCCGACCAACAAACGTAACGATGATAGCATACAAGATGCGAATTATGCGCGTCTGATAAGTTCACACACTTGAAATGTTCAAACGGACCGATACGCATTCCAAAATTAAATATCAATTGCATATAAGGGATGAAAATGTACATACATTTTTTTATCACAAAGTTGTTTTGGATGTCAACAAATAGTACAACGTCAAATCGTGGAAATTGTAGAAACGAATATGATTAGAATAATTGCAACTTGACGCATCAGATTAAATAACTCTAAAAAACCCACAGTTCACAATAGCTAGGAATTCTCGATATAGGTAAAGCATAATAATAGAAAACTTTCGGCATAGCTTCAGCTTACTTTTATAACAACTGTTCGTTCTGGAGTGGATTCGATGATCGTATACGAAGGATTAACTGAGCACTTATTTACGTCGTGATAACGGTTGAATGAGAATGTCACTGGTCTTGTTCCGTATTGTGTAACACCATTTATCACTATAAGACTCGGTTATTCAGGCAGTTGTTTGCAAGACAACAGCTTTATTATTATTTATTTCCAACAGCTGTCAACCACTTCACATTAATTGGACAACCATATCAGCTGGCTCAATTATCTCCACCAATGTTTAAGGTCTGAAAGGTCATTGATAAATTACCGAACTCTATGTTTAATTGCAGAGCACCTCAGCTCTATTTTAGACCTAGAGTCAAAAAATCTATGGTGCGAACATCTTATTGACCGATACTTAAATTTCTGTCTATATCTACGTCATAATGATGCTCATTATCCACTTTTTTAATAACTATCTGGTGTAAACTAGAATATCTATTTACGGTAGCGCCTGGATGTTTAAGTAAACTTCATGGTCGTCCATAGCATCTAATTGGAGTAGTCTAACTACTCGGCAACATTTTGAATGAATGTATTTATTACTTTTGAATAGGAATTTATGAAAAAACACTTACTAGTCAATTAACAAAACTCTGGACAACAGTAGCATGCGTTTTAAAAGTCAGGTGCATAGTAAGATCAGTTAAAGATAACAATTACAAGGATCATGATGATAGTGATGGACGAATAGCGAGACATATATCAGTTTAGACAAATCAGTGATGATGCATCTTATCTGGTTGCTAACTAAAAATGATTACTTTTACATGCGAAAGTGAATCTTCAATGAGAAAATGGCTGTATGGCCTCCATATAACATATTTAGCCAAGGATGCTCTATTTACGTCGTCTGGAAGAGTTTTCGGGATACGGTTAACAAGTTACGAACTTGAAATTGTTTACAAAGTAAAAATTTTAGATTCTAATCAAAATTTGTAATGTATTTTACGTATTTCTAATCTCAACTTCGTTAAAACTAACATTCTGATTGTTGTGTGCTGTGGCCCTGTCAATTATCATGTGACAAAATCGCCAATCGGAACACCGACGTTGTCCCCGCACCAGGACAATGATGTGCACGACCAGTCTTCAGTCAACTCTGAGTCCTTATTGGTCTCCTGTATAGTAGCTTCTCACCTGATTCCAACTCTCGGCGCAGTGCGTTCGTCGGCCCTCCTCTTTTCCGTTTAGCTTCAGGATTCCAAGTTACAGCTTGCCTCGTGATGCAGTTCGATGATTTCCTTAGTGTATGTCCTATCCACTTCCAACGTCTTTCCCTAATTTCCTTTTCATTTGTAGCTGGTTTGTTCTTTCTCATAATAGGTTGTTGCTGATGATATCAGGTCGACGAACATTGAGTATCTTTCGTAGACAATTGTTTACAAATACTTGTGCCCTCTTGGTGATGGCTGTGGTAGTTCCCCAAATTTCAGCTCCGTACAGTAGAACTGTGTTGACGTTCTACTGAAGATTCTGACTATGATGTTGTCTTACAAACAGTTGTCTTCAGTTCCATTTGTTCTTCAACTGTATGAATGCTGCTATTGGTTTACCAATCTCCTCCCCTGAATTTGCAGCGGATCCTCATAGTTCATCGAAAAAATCGTGACGACAAGCAAAAAATAACGATCTAGTCAAAGAATAGTGAGACATGTTAAAATAAGGCTACAAAGAATAAAAATTGGTTAGGTGCAAGAGGGAGGAATTAACAGAAGAATAGTGTCGCTGTCATACAACAGACGTTGAAGTGACTAGAAAGCATTCACAGAGTGACATCGGTGTTCAAAAAGACTGTGTATACTCTTTTGTTCAACCTCGGGAACAAATCTCTTTTACCTTCAGATCTCTTAAGGAAAAAAATGTTTCGACACTCGGGACTAGCCTCAAATGTTGATTCTAGGTGAATACTTTCTCCTCGGTTGTTTAGTAAACATTGGGACGACGATGCACCTGAGCTAATAGGGCTTACTGTCCACTTGGTTTCATAGTGCCACCATAAGTCTAGCATCCTAACATATCGTTTTACAGATATTTAGAATCTCTTTGCTGAGTGGCACTGGTTCACTTAGACGATGCTCAGTGAATTGTAGCTTTAGATTCTGAACACAAATCTGAAACGTGTAGAAAGGATACGGGTATTTTATAAGAGGGGACAAAGATGTGTAATTTGTAAAGATGTCAAATATGTTCAGTGCTTTCGTACGTAACACCTGTCCAACCGAAGGATGGCAAACACAGTCAAAACAAGAGTCAGTGATGAAGGCGTTCGAGGGTGTGTCTAGAAAAGTACCTGTTTGTCGAAATGTTTGTGTGATCTAGACTGGATGGTAGTTGCAAGCACTGAGTAGTGCAGCGTAACCAATGGCAATCCGATGTAGACGCATGATCGAATGTTTTCAGCTCGGGTGCGTTCGGTAAGATTAGTGAACTCAGCGTCAATGTTGAACACCTACAGAACTACATATTTTGGGGGGGTTGCTTAGCACTGCACATGAACTGTACCTCATGATTTACAGGATTTGAAATCGTCCTCATTATCCTCTTTGAGATTGTTCACTCTGGAATAGCAAAACTACGGGTCAGCTGGATATGACGACATTTGAGATTATGTCAGGTTAAACTGTAAACGGGTTTCGAGCGTCTGGGAGCTGAACTTTATAGAATCATGGTAACTATACAGGGATGGCTGGTTTTGAAGTGAGAATTGACTTGGAAGTGATTCTCTCATCAATTAAATCTGTCGAAACTTGAGATTCACAACTCAAAAGCCCTGGTGAACGGAAAGGGCGTCTTAAGCTTCTTCTTTGTTTGTTCTAAAGATTGTAGCTACGAGTGGATCAAATTATGAAATCACATATACCAATATTAAAAGTCTTCCATCTTATCTCACTGCTGCTCGAAACCAATCTCATAAGCTTAAACAGTATCTTCTCAATAAGTCTTGAAATCGAAATGACCAGAGTGAACCCTATTTTATGGAAATGGTCTATTCAGAGAATCAAGAATACAATCGCTCGGTCTAGCTGCTATAGTATGATCATTGAGTATAACATGATTAAAAGTCATTGACAGGCTGTGCAGAGGCGAAAGGAAGAGCACAAAACTAAAACTATGAATAATATAAATCACTATAACTTTATGGTAACTAAAATAAGTTGTGTGGGTTTGAACATTTCATGGACTTGGAATGAGATAAAAGTGGCAAACGGTCACAAATACGGAAGTGCACGTCCATAGACGTTCAGAATTAATCATAACAGTTGGTAAAGGATAGCTCATTAGATAAAAATACCATTTTATACAAATGTATCATACAGATTCGTTTTCACATACGTATAGACGAAATTAAACTGATGTCTCGTTGGGTGAAACAAGACAGTAACTTGTCATTTGCAGTGATTATATTAAACCAAACATCCTCAGAGGCATGAGTAGAAAACCTTTTTATTCAAAATACAATTATTACAGGCATCTCGGCCTGTCCACGCTGCTGAGTATCCGTAACTCCATTGACCCTCTTTAGTATGGCGAATGAAATTTCAAATAGTAGCTGTCTAGGACTTTTAATCCGACCATTCAATTTCAGCATGAAATTGAAAACTCATGGCTCTCTCACATTCATCACAATTAGTAAGACCATTGTTGTGGAGCATGGCACAAGTTGCGAGCAAATTAACATAAACTCTGTTAGATTTAGTGCTACTGCGGTTGCTACTAATGAGCTTATCTATGCCATTCAATTAAGACTCAATATTATGTTGTCTATTAGTCAGAATTTGACTGCCTAAACGATATGATCTTACGTTGAAGCCACATCACTGTATATCCTGACGTGTCTAATCAAACATAAATGTGGAAGATCGTAAACACCCATTGAAATACTATGACCAATAGCATGCAGCCTAGCTGAAGTCTCTTGAGAATCTGTTGTGACCCAAAAGCAACAGTGTATATACCGCTCGGAGTAAGATACCAGATTATATTCTGTCTTCCTTACAAAAGGGACATAAATTGGTCATCATTCCTTAAAAGATTTAGTTTTTACTGCTACCAGCAAACAGGGAAGACTTAAGAAACCTCTTGTTTAATGTATGTATAATTTGCTTATTTCTTGTGCGATAACTACTCTACCGACTAAGGTAGAGCGAACATGGTCCACAGGTCCACTATTTTCCAAATTATGCAGCCACCTACAAGACTCGATTTTTCTTCACTGAAGTTTATAGGATGCATTCGGGCTGAAGATGGTTAAATTTTGGGGTATCATAGGAATGCATACTGGTGTCTCTACCATCCTTAATACCGAGCAAGGACCACCAATAAGATATCAGCCAATTAGCCTCCGACCATTTGCACGACGTCAGGATGTGGGGAACCAGCGAATGTGCATGCATTCCACAAAACATTTAAAGATACTTAGGTCCATTAGAAGTGTGAACATAACGCAGCAAATTGAAATCCAACTCCTAGAAATGTAATACAACGCTTCCTTAAGCTACAGAAAAGTAACAGATAGACATCCCTCTCTACAGTCACCTTCATTTTGGAACCTTGGTGGATCGTGTTTTGTCAGTATCCACAACAACAATATAGTAAATGCAAGTAAATTTTATGATTTCGCCATTTACTTTAAAGGCAGCTAGAAATTCTGTCTAATAAGTGCTTTTAGAAAATATTTAAGAATCACATTCGTTTATATCTGGAAACTCATGATGTTGTTGCACTTTTTTTACACAATTGTGTCGTTAGATACTGGAACATGTATGGAGTTATAGGTTAGGGAAATAAATCCCATGATGATTTTTCTGACTGAGATATAGAAGAGAAGTATGAGGCCTACTAATTGTGTATAGCAGGCTTATTGCCTCATGTCATTTCCACAGAAACATATAGCTTGAATAGCGATACGGACCAGGAGCTAGCAATACTCGGGATGTCTTTGTTTCGCAAGGATAGAAAAACGGGAACTAAGGGTGAAGTAGACTTGTACTTACGGTCCTATGCGGAGGTACATCAAATGCACAATCAAGAGTTTGTCAATCCTGATGAATCAGTATGATACTTGACAAGATTGTCTACCACCTCGAATTGTCTAGTTGGAGTCAACTATAGGCAGCCCACTGCTGACATCGAGTACGACAATCATATGCTGGAAGGATTATCCCGCTCTACTCGTCTCGGATTCACTCATATCCTGATTCTAGGTTACTTCAATCTTCTTATAGTTAGTTTCGCGAAACATACGTTTATTGGAGGTGAAAACTCTACTGAAGTTCCGTTCTTCAACCTCATTGAGGATCCGGGACTATTCGAAAATGTGAAGTTGACAACTCGTTGAAGAAACAGTCAGACAACGTCGCGTTTAGACTTCGTATTCGCAAACGAAGAATCGACATTCTCTCTTTCCTGGCTTCCCTGGGGAGAAGAGATCGTGCCATCATAGCCTTTAGTTTTATCAGCAATATTGAGCTAAGACATTCCACCAGCAACAGGAGCTGGAATTTCAAACGGTTGGATGTGTCAGCTTTGCGAGACAATCTACACCAGTTGGACTGAAGAATTCACCCTCAACTTGATATGGATATTCATTAGAATTTCTTATTGCACACGATCTTACATGCTGCAAAGCAGTCTGTTCCTTAAGTGGTCCCCAAAATCTACAAGCAACCTACAGTCATCAAGAACCGCACTATTTGTTCGCTAAGCCGTAAAAGTCACTGTTGGGCAGAATACAAAGGAACTGATAACAACGTTGCGTACAGGCAATACAAACATATAAGTAACATATGCACGATGGCCATAAGAGAAGACAGGCTTCAGTACCAGATAAGGCTTATGGATAAATTTGTCTCCAACCCGAAAAGTTTATATCGTTATGCAGCCCCTCTTTGACGAACTAAAACTAGAGTTTCCCAACTTCTAGGTCCTAGTGGTTCGACCAGTAACGACAGTGACGCCGCTAACCTTCTTGCTGAACAGTACTCTCGGACATTTCAACCGACCCACATTAGCTATACTGATGAAAGCTTCATCTGCAACCTGACGTGTTGTACAAGAAACTGCAGCACCTAAGAAAAGACACTTCTTCTGGTCCGGATATGGTTCAGCTTCAATCCTGACAACACCACTTAGCGTTGTGCTCTCACACTCGCTAAGCAGAGGAAAACTACCGGAAATTTGGAAGCAACAACGAATTTATCTTCAGCACTTCAAATTATAAAGCAGTAAATCTGAGACATATTGTAGGCTATGAATACGAATGGGTAGCTTGCCTCTAGAGGCATCCCAAGTATTCTTAATATTTCTGGACATCCCCTCAAACACCTACTTAATTTTAGCTCCAACACAAACCTATGGGGTGACACCGAGAAACTTGAAACACAACACAGAAGAACGGGCTGTAGACACAACTTCCACTCTTTAAGAGTAGCTTCCGACTGAGTTAGTCCAAGCGACTTACCGAAAGTTTTTTAAAAGGAAACCAGACCTATTCTTAAGGACTAAGGATAGTACCTTACTATGAATTACCAATTACTATTTCCTCTTTTATCGTTAATCTACTTTGGTTCCTGACTGGAGCTATTGATGATCTACTTCTACTAGACACGGAAGCCAGTCAAGCGAAAGCTTTTCCTATTCCGTCTACAACCATTCGAATCAACTGGACCATTTTGTACATCGTGAAGCAAGCCACGATGAATTGTTTATCAAAGAGCAAATTCTATCAAAACCAAACTTCCTTCATAACTGCTCGGTTCTGTTTCCGATGATTTTACAGACCTCCAGGTTAAAACTGATAAAAGTGGTTTTAACAACCATGCCCACGCTGAAGATTCACTCCTAGAAAACCGTTCAACCAAATCCAGTGACAAAGAATTATTCTTTGTACCTATTGTTAAATATCTCTCAATTTATTCACAATTTTTGTTATACGCCTATTCTCAATTCGCACAACCAACACTTTTTATTTCTGACTGACGAATAAAGGATTTTAAGTGCTTAAATGTAGGCAATATAGAACATTGAACGAAATACAATAGAAACGACTCGGCAACAAAAACAAAAGTTATGAACTCACCTCTTGATAGTCTTCTAGGACCATCGGAAGTTGGTAGGACTGCTGAAGATCCGAAATCTACAGCAATTATTTACTTGGAGAAACATGGAATTTTGAGGCTTATGCAAGTACAATTTATCTAACAAATTTTCAGATAACTAAGAAACTTGTTTACGAAATAGCTTTATTTCAGCCAGACGACCCTATTCAATACATGATAGACCATGTAGAAAATATTAGGGATCACATAGACTGCTAGAAAACATACACCCACTCGTACACCACTGCGCTTTGAGTGTTGACACACAAACCGTCAAGTCGTTTTGCTCTGTGGTAAGCAATTCATCATATAGCTATCAAAACATATCTTAAACTATAAATTTATGAACGCAAAAATATCTCGCACTTTGTATTTTTATGAACAAACTATGAGTAAATTATTCAGATCATTTGATTATAAAATTCTATTTTTCCTATATAGACATATATATCTTGAATACCTCCTGTTTTTATTTGGTCGAAGAACCTTTATCTGTAGATTAATTAGAATTTACTCAGCTAACCAGTTCTTCGTGCCAAAGACGTAGAGCAATGTGCCTTATGTTATGTAATATAGATGTTATTTATCTGTGTGTGTCTTACTTACTGTTCTGTGAAATATGAATAAAAGTGAGGCTTAGTAGCTCACCGATTATTGTTCGTAAAAAAACATCACACCCAAGCAAAAACGGCGTGTACTTGGGCAGAAGTCATAGATACCATACTTTTTGGTTGATCTCGGGCAAAACTTCGGCTAATTAGAAGGCAGGTAATAGAGACAAATAATTTATGACGTAAAACCCGAATAATTAAAATGTATGTGTATATACACTCTTTCTACACGGTTGACAAACTTTAATGATTTTACCAATCGTTCAAAGTTATATACGAACTCTAATTGGAGTTCGTGCTATACAAAGCTCGTTCAGTTTACCGAATCTTTACGGCCTTTGTAAGACAGAATATGGTCGTTTAATTGTGACAGTATTGCTTCAGCATTTGTGATTTAAACACCAGTTATTGAGCCGATGAAATAACGTCTACAAACGATTGTTGTAAGCTTTACAATCTTCAATCATTCGTGTAGATGATAGTCCATGTCTGTATGAACCGTACATAAATAGGTAGATTTTCAGTATTCATTCGATTGTAATGCATAGGTGCTCTAGAGTGTCACCGAAAACATCCTTGATTATTTCCTAAATCACATTAAGTACGCTCAAGTCACTGCCGTTTGCGATACAATATTCGTCAGCACCACATTCTTTCCATAACTTATCTACCGCACTACGTCTTACTCACTGTGTACTTGCAAAAACAAAATGCTAATCGACTTCAAACATCTCAAGAACAAAATATAAACACTGTTGACTTATCTTGTAATACAGTACAGACCACCCTTCATTAAATTTGGAGTTTCCTGCAAAAATCTATTGTTTATTATTTTTAATCTGATTGTTTAGCCCATAACGTATAGGGTCACCGAAAAAATTATTCATAGAAGATGTTATTAGTCTCAAAGTATGTTCAAGAAGCTGTTGCACTGTTATATAATTTTAACAAGTCGAGATGAATAATGTCTCTAAACTGGGTTCCATACAGTATCTTTGCTATCCAAAGTAATCATATAACTTGTAAACAGTTTATGTGAATAGACTCCCGTCATTCAGTAATAGCTTCAATCTCTTATCACTCAAAAGTGTTGGTTACTGTAATTTTAACAGCCATATGTCCAAACTGTAGATTAGGAACAATTAATACTTACACTACGTATTTGCAAGGATATCAACATTTTATTTGGTATCTTCTCATTGCATTTCAATGCATGTGTTAAGAACAGAGCATACGGATGCCACCTGAAGACGAACTATGATGAACATTTTCTGAAAATCATGGTAAATCAGTACTAATTTAATTTTTGGTAACTAGTGAAAACGAAACAACTTCATAACTTTTCAACTTGGCAGGAACGTCCCTCATAAGAATGACAACTTTAAAATCTGAGATGCAGGGAAAAGTTAAGATGAAATAAATCATGAGGAATACAATTAACCACTGATAATTGTTTCCAACACAAAACTAAGAAATTATGATTGGAGTATCGAATATATTTGAAACTTTAAGCAGAAATTCAATGTTTTACTAAAAGTTTCATCTCACTATATAATATAACTAACCGGTTAGTCAAGATGAAAGTTTAAATACTTGAAACTCGTGAATATTCTTACAAAGAGTCCATAATTAGTGTATTTGTTGAGACGTAAATAGTATACAGACCTTTATACAAAAGTGAATGAATAAGAAATCAAACACTTTAAAAAAGTTTGAAGAATTAATGCACAAACGAGGGTTAAGTTAAGGATCTGTAAACTGGGGGAAGGTTTTCTCTGGTGGTCGAATTGCAAACATTTGAGAAACTACTGACATTCTTTCTTGTTCGAAGGATACCACTAAAGCATGAAGATCTTGGTAGAACAGTTGATCTAAACCATAAATCATCCCCATTAGTGACTCTAATTTCAAATATCGAAATCGGTTCTAAGGAAAAGCAAAGACAAATGAAATCGAGAAGCGAAAATTTCAAAACAAGTAAATATAAATTCAAGATATCACAGACATAGGGTCTCAACGAGAATATTAGTTTTTAGTAATTAAGATAAGACGGAGCTACTAATTTAAATACTTCTGAATGGCCATCTGAGTCTTAGTAAGAAGCAGACTAATCATCGTAAGTAAAGGTTACTTATGATTATACAGACCATATCAGTGTAATAGAATTAGAGGAAAATCACGTGTAGCGAGTGTTCTAGCCGCCAAACATAGTAGACAAAATACACTTTTCTAGCTAATTCACATATAAAACTGGTTATCTGTCCGAAAATAATAAATCTACACTATAGAAATCATCACACATACAGTTCAAAGACAATGACGTTCGTTACTTGCTCTTGATACTGAAATTTATTGCTTAACACTCATAATTTTTACCAACACATACTGTGATCACGTTTAGAAAACAGATATCAGTCTACAAAATGTGTTTCAAATAAATCCCAATACGTCTTAACAACACTTCGGGATTGTGTAAATCAGATTAGGCTGGCCAGGAATTTAGCACCCTATCAATTATAGTGCTTATTATAAATAAATGTACAAGTTCTATCAGTTGATATGTTACGATAGAAAGATGCAAGGGCATTCAAATGAAACCAGGTGATGATAAAAGTATCTATAAGCAATATATTTACTGAGAAAAACATGTGTCGGTATTCTTCTGCGAGATAGCAGTTCATATTAGATTATATCGTGTGATAACTTGAATAAGAGGTTATACAGTGGTCTTGAATAATGTTAGAGGTATGAGGGCGGTTATCACTTCCTGATCGCCCACACCGTGGAAGGGTTCTTCTAGAGCTACCTGAAAAAGAAATTGGGTTAAAGGTGGTCTTAGTGATCTGAGAGCGTGACTGCAGTGCCCAGGGGAAAACTGCTTGAGGTCTGTCACAGACGACCTTTTTGTGGGTACTTTTCGCGCTAGCACCGTACTTGTTGAGACCTTACCGCCAGAGATGGATACCCGTGGAATAAGGAGAGGTGAGCATTTTTAGGGTCGACCTTTCATAACCCCATCCCTCCTTGCGGGAAGGCAGCATCGCTGTTATGCTGGTTGTCTGGAGGAAATACCTTACTGCCGTCACATTTCTGTATAGTCAGCAGTACGACTTCGCCTTCGGACCTTGAGTTTGCTGCTTTTAGTCTTGCCGTTCTTCAACCGACCTGTCTGGCATGATAGGACCTTGAGAAACGGTTGTTCCAGCCAGTATAGCTCGATTGGTTCATGACGATAGGCAAGCCTGGCCACCATTTCAAGGTAGCCACAACGATTGGGCTTGAATATGAGTTGTGAGCAACAGTTTAAATGGAATTTTTATGTTCAGATGAAGTCAGATTATGATAATTGATTCGTCTATAGAAAAGGGTCATAAAAATTTTAGAGTGATAACTGGTTAGATTATATTTAAATGTAAACATGTAAGCTTTTAAAGGAAATCTGTTAAGAACCATCACAAATCTTAACTTTTGAAGAATTTTGACAATCTGACGCATGATATCCATAACCAATTCTTACAATACACGATACTGATATATAAACATATTGACTATGAATTCGTAACTGACTTCTTCTTTACATACGGTCGAAAAAAGTAATAAATAAATAGGTGTTCAACGAGCATGTAATACCGTAAATTATATTAAAACTAATAGAAGTTATGAATTAACCCGAATTACCATACACCAGATAGTACCAATCATTCCTTACCCTATATTAGTCTTAATCAAGAAAAATAAACGTGGGATTTCTTATGATGTATATCTTATTATAATTTACTAACCATGGATCTGGATAATAAGAATATTCATATGATTTCTGGTTCGATAGAAGTTAACCGATAAGTCGTTTCGTTTCATCTGGGTGTAAAACAGTAAAGTATCATTCAGAACAGTTGGGAGATATTAGGTAGGTCAATAAATTAAAACAACCAGTTATTATGTAAAAATTCGTTCCCTCTTAGAAGTATACAAATTTAGAAAAAATTGCTAATTATCAATATTTTTAAGCATTGTCACAGAAAAAATGTATATATACTGCCAGAAAGAAAATATTGATTAAGAAACATGTAGTATTGTATTTATAAGCTTAGAGATTGCTGTTAGTGTCAATGCAAACTTGATTAACAGATGATAATAAAATGGACTTCAATTTTCGTAACCAAATGCACACAGACATATGCATATACTTGTCTATAAAGGCATGGAGATGTACATAGATGTAAAACTGTGATATTCGTATTGCCCACTCGTTATTTCCAGTCACGTGCTTATTATTTGGTATGTGCTAGAAAAATATTACCATAGAGAAATTCATACATACCAAAATCTGTCCAATCATATTTGAAAGTATTCTGTTATTAAGGTTTGTACGAAAATCATTAATACTATTACGATTGTTGTTTGTGAACAGTTTTACAAGCAAGTGTTTATTCACCAAATTGAAAAAAGTAAAGAATTTGTGCATAAATGTTCACAAATCCGTGCCATGAAGTTAAACTGTATAAAATTGTTGTTTAACATTTAAGTATCATTCCATTTCTTCCGAATAAAAACTAGTCTACATTCATACAAATGTTAGGAATTTGACTTACAAACTTGGAGGTCTGATATTTAACAATGCACATTTGAGATTTTGTTTTTAACAATGTAATAAGGTGAATAAAAGAAAAATGAAAACTAATGTATGTAAAATAAACTTGATATTTATGGTCTACAAAGAAAGGTATTAAAAAAGTAATGTTTGACCATGAAAAGAAAAGAATGTGTACTACACGATTAACAGGTGATTATTTTAGTTACTCTATGTAAAAAAAAGTTTCTATCCATTGTGATTGTCTCTATTTCATTTCACTAAACCAATAAGACATTAAAATACAAAACATTCAAACACGGTGTGTACATAGAATTTTTCTTTCCTATCATTAATATTACAGCATTCACTACTGTTTGGAATGCTTGCTTTAAAGTTATAAACTTATATTAATTATAAGCAATGTCACTAGTAATATTTAAATATCGTTGAATTTAGAGGAAAATAAGGAAAAAGCAAAACTTATAGAAATCTGTTACAAAAATGCAATTAGTACATTGAAGCAACATTCCAAGCACTGAAAAAAAACGATTCACAAGTCAAGATATATATATATATATATATATATATATATATAGCTGAAAATGAGATTTGTCCGCAAGGTAGATTTAGGGAAGAAAAGTATTTAAATGAAATTCCTTATTTAATTTAACCTATTAGAAAATTTTTACATTGACTGTATCTATGCATTTTATTATACAATATGAGAAACTAATCATTTAGTTTGAAATATATAATGCAATTAATTATAGTTGAAGAATAAGTTACAAGTAGGTTTTCAATTATGATACTATTTATATAACAGTTAAGTTAGGAATTTTCATACTTGAAAGTTATCACATAATAATTCTGATGCAATACACCTATCCACTTAATATGGGTAGATTTTTTTACTTATGTAAACAGAGAGTAGCTTATTGTCAAAACAATTGAATCAGTAGAAAACCATAACTAGCACGAAATTCCTTTACTGTATATCATTGGATGAAAATGATGACCAGAATATATGTATAACGATTCTAATAAATTTAAGTTAGAGTATCAACTTACTATAAAGTATTGTTCTTGTTCTGAATTAGCATTTTTATATGCACCCACTTCACTATGGCAAGCTGTAAGATAGATAAAAACATTTAAGTGAAAAATGAGTAAACTGAGCATAAATTGAATATTGAATCAAGCATTATCTACATATTTAAATGAATATAGAAAAAATTGAGTAGAAAAAAACATATTGCTTTAATTAAACATTGTGTCCACGGTCACTTTATTATGGGACACACATAAATGGTTCATCTATATTCATTCTAATCGCGTCTTTACAAAATTTCCTTTAGTATGAGAAGTTATCGCAAATATATTCTGGTCTTACAATAAGTAAATTATAATTATCTAATTAAATGGAATTCATTTATATTCCATAGTTAAACTAAATAGTACTTTACGATAAATAACAGGTTGAAAAAAACGTAAGACAGGTATCCAACTCAGATAATGGATGAAGGGTTGCACAAGATCATGGATCGATTGAAGTTAGACATTGACGTCGTTAGATGCGTTTCATGAGAGACCGAAGGTCCCGGGCTTGAGTCCCGTGTGTAGGATCATGGATGCGCACTGCTGAGGAGTCCCATACTAGGACGAAACGGCTGTTCAGTTCTTTTAGGTTGTCAATGGTGGTCAGGTTTAGATTGGCTGTGAATTCAACTTCGAAAATACTGCAATCTCTGCAAAGTCCCAAAATTGATAAGTGGTACTTTATGATAAATAACTAGTTGGAAGGATTGTTGCTTATTAAATAGTTTTCTACAAAAAAGTCGAACATACAATAAGATTTTAAAAAATTGATTTACTATAAACCTAACACTTGAATACGTGAACTCAACACTATGATTAGTCTATGGAAAATTTTTAAAATTGAATTCATCTCAAGCTCCTGTTGGAATATACCGGATGAGAGTAAGGAAAAACAATGAAAGATAAAGTGAGCCTTAACTAAAATGCTGAAATCTGTTTCAAAATTCTTAGAATGAACAAATATTTTAACAATTTGTGAATAGAAAATTTTTATATCAATAAAAATAAACACACCAAGTAAATTATGCCGTAGGGATAATTGTAGTTTACGTAGATCGGTAAAGAAACTTTTACGTTCTACTTCAGGATCTTTTAAAGGAGCATTAATCCAGAGGTTGGGATGATGACGTTGACAGTGAGGAATAAGTAAACTAAAAAATATGCAGTAAAAATATATTGAAAACTTATGAGTGTGATTTAAACAGAAGAAAAGTCAAAGTGACCTTTATTCGAAGATTAGAGTATGATACTGAATTGTGTCTCACTGGAATTTTTCCTAAAAGTAACACTACGTATGAAAGTATCTGACATAAAGAAATGAAGAAAAATCGAATGAAAATATGGGAATTAGAATTCACTAATTTAAGCTTTTACTACATGATAAATAATTTAATTAACACTGTATATTTTACTTAATTAAGGGTACAAAGTGATGAAAGTAGTAGTAGTACTAGTAATAGTAGTTTTCTTTCTGGATTCATTGTCTGTGTTTCATATACATTAGGAGAGTACCATATTATGAAAAGATAAGTGTCAAAAAATTTGTCATTACAGTTCCTGTAAATTATGGTGATAGAAAAACACCGTATAGTTAAAGTTCACTTGATGTTTAGAGATGGTAACAGAAAAATTAATCAGTATTCATCAATGTCTTAATATGAAGCCGGTATTCTAAGAAAATTTGAGAATAAGCAGATATAATTTGTAATACTTTGCACTAAAAGGTATTGTGGTGGAAACGTGATGAGAGAAGATAGCACAAACGGGATCTTGACGAAAATTAATGGAACAACTACTAGTGAAAGGTTAATTTCCATAGAGACACAACAGATTTTCAACTTATTAAACATCTAACAATTTACACGTTTTTAATATCATTTTTATTCATATTCTATTTCACACTATTATAAGCTTTTTTGATATTTTTTTAATTATCAAAATATGGTGTCACCTGTCAACAAAAATAAAATAAAAGCAATCAGGTATTCATCCATACATTGATTACAAACAAATATTGTCTATATTATGGAATAGAAACTAGACAAATTATTCTTTCCCTGTGTATGTGTAGATATAGCACACAAGCAGTATTTACTGACAATAACTATGATCTTTACATAAAGCAATTCGCCAAGGTTAACCAAACGTATCAGTATGGGGTTGTGGAGAGTATTAAGATTTTGATTGAAATCATGAACCGGTTGATGTTAAACCGCCATTTAAAACCTGGAAGCACTGGGCGGCCGTTTCGTCTTATTGTGAGACTCCTCAGTAGTCCGCATCCACGATTCACGCCGTGACCAGTGGAGCTAATTCATGTCAGGTAGAGGCAGGTATCTACCTCGGCACAATGGAAGATGGTCGCGTATTTTCGTGGATTGGTTGAGGTTAGACATTAACATCGTTGGATGCCGGCTCAGTGGTCTAGAGGTTAAGCGTTCGCAAGCGAGACTGAAGGTCCTAGGTTCGAATCCCGCTGGCAGGACCGTAGATGCACACTGCTGAGTCCCATACTAAGACGAAACGGGCGTCCAGTACTTCCAGGTTTTCAATGGTGGTCTAACATCAATCGGTTCATGATCTCAATAAAATCGATGTATTTTGTATAAGCTTTCGCATTATTCTATTTGATTATTTTTGTTGGATTTTTTCATTTTGATGCACTGTTTTAGCTTTCACGTTCCAAATAAAATAAAAGATAGTATTTCTATTAGTTTGTTCTTAGGAAACACTTTGATACCCTTGATATATGATTTTCAAAACAGACTCATAAAGTATTAAGGTACAGGAAGTGGGTTGATAGTTAACAACTTTTATTGAAGCGATTTATCAGTATGGATTTGCTGAAGTTATACTAATGAAGTAGGGAATTACGAAGTTCATAAACGCTATCAAACGATTGATTCCAAAAGGGAGAAATGTAACATAATATGGTTCTAAGCAACTCCAAAGAGGTGGTTATTTCATGAGAGATGATTTTAATCAATTGACCATTTTGCCATCAGACGATCAACTACAGATCCAACTACTGTTTTAACTTGTATTGAGACAGTAGTCTTCCACCCAATGTACTAGAAAACGCCATTTGACCTTAATTAGTTAGGATTCGAATTTGAAAATGTATTAGTAGACTAGATATTCAAAAAAAAATTTACACTGCAATTAATTCAATGCTGCTTTGACATAAGAAACTTTCAGTATACGTTAACAATTCGTCATGGATCTCACGTCTAAAAACCTTTTACTCGTACGATAAGATAGTTCGGTATTTGTTCCAATACCTAATGCTAAAGAAGTCAAATATTGGTCGAAAGAGAAACATTTTCAGAATAATTAAATTTCCATATGAATTATCAACAACGTTGTGCTTTTTTTGGCATCGGCATCAGAACAATCGATTTCCCTGCATTGCAAGACTAAACATATAGTGTATATAATCATTTCACTGAAAGTAGTTTAAAAGATTAAATAAACTAAAAGAAATGATGGACAAATAAGACAACTTCCAGTAGATATTATCGCCTAATGTAAACGGTAAGTATGAGTATTTCATATATACGGGGACTAGAAATAAATTCCTCAATATCGAGGATTAATTGAAGTTAGACATATGCACCGTTGGATGTCAGGTCAGTGGTCTAAAGGTTAAGTTCTCAAAGCGAAACCTAAAAGTCCCGTGTTCAGTCCCCAGTAGGGATGAGTACTATTGAAAAGTCCCATACTAGAACTAAACAGCTGTCCAGTTCATTTTTTAAAATTTTCAATGGTTGTCTGACTGGAAACAATCAGTGATGTAAACTATAAAATTTTAGTAACCTCTATAAAGTCCCTGTAATAAAAACTCCCTAAGCTTGGTACACTCGTATATATCCGCTTGATAAGAACAATGCTTAACATCATAAAGCATAAATTTGTAGATATGTAGTTGTCTGTTTTTATTGAACATTAAAAAGGCCACTAAAAGGGATAGATTTTTATATACTAATCCAGGAATAAACAAATAAAAGTAAAACATGGTAATGTAATAATTATTATTAATAATAATGGTATTTTTTCATTATTTACTTTTGATAGTAAACACCTGATTGGCTCGAATCAACACGTTCCCATCCCAGTGGTATATACGGTCCAATAAGTGGATGATTCCATGTGGATCGTCTGGTTGAATCACATGTATAATATGATCGACCAAGACCTGATCGTCTTTCAGACCATCCATTCGGTAAAATTAAGCGACTATTGTTGTCCATTTCAATTAATGACTAGAAAAATTTTTTCAATGAAAAAAATCACTCAAATAAAGTTAGGAAACATATTTTGTGATAAACTAAAACAAGCATAGGCATCTATTTCTGATTAATAAACCAGTTAGATAAAGCGATTGACAGAAAATGAACAAAAACTAGATTCAAACAAGTATACAGAATTACTCAAAGTATTTAAAAATCTACATGTAAAACTCACTGAAATTTTCGAATAGAAATTAGAATGATCCATTAAAGCTAATCCCGGTTCAACGGGTAATTCTGGAGCTAAATCAAAACTTGACTTAGTATATCTTATTCCTATTCTACTTTGATTATGATAAGCGGCTAAATCATTAGCACTAAACGAATTAGTCATTGAGCGTAAAGCCGGTGACTGTAAAACGTTGTTACCATTATTATTATTGTGATGAAAGAAGCTTTGTGAATCATTTGTTTGATCTGACAGTATAAATACCTGGTTACTTGGATTAACTGCATAATAATGCTCACAACGATTGCTATTTTGTTTAAATCTATCAAGTTCTGAAGCTGCTCCACGTTCAGAAGTATGAGTTGATAAATTATCTGTTTCAGACGAATATGAAAACCCAGCATTTGCACTACCAGAACGAGGCATACAATTTGTAAATCGTCCATAAGTCGGACGTTGAAAATAAGCATTCCAATTGTAGTTTTCTGTAAGATAAAAAATTAAATGAGTTAATACATTTACCCAACGTATACATGAATCACATGGAGGTTATAAAATTCTTAGTTATATATCTCAAAATAAAAGAAATATAATGTCTTTAATCAAAAACAAACATATGGAGAAAAATTCTAAATTTCACATGTTTTTGAAAGAATTATACCAATTGATGTAAGCAAAGTCAGATTGTATAACTTGACAAATGTTTAATAATGAACATGTAAGATGTTGTTATAATAGCTACAAGTGTATGTATGCATTTTGTAACCACTCTATTTCGTATTCATTATAACAACTTCATTAAATAATAAATAATTCTGGTTGAAGGAAAAGTGTTGTAGTGTCCTACTGTTATAATACTCGCAACATTTTACTTCAAATTGAAATTTTTCCTTGTCTATGTCATCCAGACTACGTTTTTAATTAATATTAACAATATCGTTGAGTATTTGTGCAAACGCACAAGAATAAAGGACGTTATTTATATCCTAGATTACTTTTTTGGCAAAATAAAGCGGATGAAAACATATTATTTATGGATTTTTTAATCGACCTAAAAGCAATAAATCGTCCAAATATTTCAAATTCTTCTAATTTCTAAGGAAACAGATATATCATAATCTAGATAGCCATTTAGTGAAATATAAGTTAATCTAATTTACTAACATACACATTGAAAAAAAGCGTTTGTTTACTCATTTAAAAAGTACGAATTCATATACTCGAGTTCAAATCACACGTATTGTGTTGGGGCTAGTGATTGTTACTTTCCAACTGCTTAAATGCAAAGTTGGCGGAGCAGGATTCAGTTCTGTCATATATAACTGAAATTTAAGTAATTTAAGTATTAAATCGTATCTTTAGACGTTTAGTCAGAATTGGTCACAATGGCACAAAAGCATTTACTCTTTAATTTACTCTAAGTATCAAGTTCCTGTATTTCATTGTACACATTTTTTCATTTGTGCTTCCTGAACTATATTACAAGTGTTTATTCTTTTTCATTATCATTACTACTACATTACTTTAACTCCTTCGTTATTCATTCTGTTAATTTCATATTTTCTTGCTAATATAATGCAGAGATTTGAAGTAACTAAGCCTTGTGTCAGACTGTACGTCGATTATAACTGACAGATCTCCACTTATCGGTAAACATAGACAGCATCTATACTGAAAATATAAAGGAATGACGTATAAATTTCAAATTTATGGGTAATATGTTTAACCTAAAACTCAGGCAGTAAATGAACATACAAAAACTAGTATGCATTACTGATCTTTGAAAAGCATGACATTAAACAAAAAACTCTCCAACCTGTATCAGTTTGCTTAACTTTCTTAAAATAAAACGAGAATTTTTTTAACAAACTGACACCTGCCGTAATTTCAAGTTAGACTAATATTTACTGATTTGACAGCATATAACTGCACACATGAAAATAAATACTTTTTTTTAAAATACCACGAAAAGTACATTATATTAGGTATGTATTCACATAAAACTTAAATTTACCTAATGTGGAAATATCTAGAAAAAAGAAGTCGTAAAATGAATGCTTCAAGTATACGAAACCCGACACATTCAACTACCTGTATCCACACACATACAAACGGAAGAAAGAATGGTAAGAAAAATAAATAAACGAAATGTTAAATGCCACCAACAATGAATTTTCAAACAAAAGGGCATCTCTGCCAATATATCATCTGGCATTCATTAAATTTAACACTGAAGTGTACAGAGAAAAATACACAAAGGGAAAAAGATGAAATACATACAAATTATAATTATATCACAAGTGAATAATTAGCTTTCTCACTGTAGAACAAAGGATTCTTTAGATGGAAGTTACAAAATAAAACAATATTTTATAATTGCTTTTATTTCATTAAGTGAATGAATTCGGGAAAATGTTGAGAAAAAGTAAGCTGATTAATCCAAACTGTTTTTTTCCTGCTACATGTTCCGCCTGATTTATAACAAGCAATCGTATTTTTTTGGCTAGCCACGGTTCCCAGTAAATGACAGTATTACTTAGTTCCTTTTAATGATAAATATACAGGAATATGGTTGGTAATGAAATTATGTTGGGGAGTATGAACTGATTTCTTATTGTATAGTGTGTGAGTGACGATTCTTGTGTTAACGATTTATCTAGATTTGTATGATTAAGATGTAATTGTATTAGAGGTATCTTAAAATATGGATTTTTTAAGGTAACTTTGTAACTGACTTACAAAAGATAACCGTCAAAGGATTTTATTATACTAATTAGGATATTAACTTCAACTAACAGCTTAGTTTAGGAGGATGTATGAAAACACTTCCATTCTACTTTTCACTTATTTAACTATGATGAGATAATAAAACAGGTACTATTATTCTTCACTAGAAAATCTTTTCGCGCACATATTTATTGTAACAAATACATACGATGCTTTTGAATAATTCTTTGCTCGTTTCTTTTAACATGATAAATAACTTCCTGTCATTCATATATTGTTCAAAATAATCTTAGATCTCATGTGTGCATGATATTATCTTCATGGTTTAGAACTTCTAATAATGCTGCAAAATACTATACATCTCGGACAGTCATTGAAGAACAAAATTCTTAGATCATTCATTATTAGAAACGGAAAGCTTACGATAGTGGATTTTACTGTGAAACGGTGAAATTAAAAATACAGTTAAGAGAACAATTTTATTCTAATATGTGAGAGTAACAAATTAAATCAACTTGCTTATCAGCATTACGCATATTATTGAGGGTCTCAATAATAAAATGAGTCGAAAAATATAGACAATAGGACAACTATCGATTTTACAACGATAATATAAAAAAATTTACTGACTAATTTCCTCAGTATATTGTATATCTTTTATTACTTATCAGTTCTTTTTACCGTCTGAACTTACATCCGTTCTTTCTGACGTAATACTAAGGTTCTCTCAATTTACACTTGTATGCTAGAGTGGCGTCCACATTTCTTTCAACCATTATTTCAGTAGTTAGGTACATCGTAAAAATTGGGAGCGAAATTTCTTGAACTAAGCACATTGTATCACCCTAAAACAAAATATTCTTTTTTAATGCTACTAACTTATTAAGTGACATTTTGTTTTACTGGAAGTACTCTAGAATCACGTGATAGACAGTGTTGTAAATCATGCCTAATGACAATTCTAAGCCAAGCGAATAATGTTTAGCTCGGTAAACTAATACTCATATTGACTTAAAAACATGATTTAGTGCTGTGGGAGACAAGAAACGCAATAAAATTGGATACCTTCTATAGAAATTTACAAACAAACATCAACATACCTAGGCTATTGTTGTTATTATAAGAAAATGGATCCCAGCGAACAGTGTTCATGCAAGGAAACCAAGGATAACCAGGTGGAGGTGAATACACACCTGATGGTCTATAAGCTGCATAAGAATTTGTTGGAATTCTATCCGAATAGGTGTAGTTTATATTAGCAAATCGTTTGATTCCATCAGGATTTGCACATGAGCATAGACCACCGGCTGCTATTGCTTGTAGTGGGTTTTCTGTAGTCTGTGGATCATAGGAAACGAAATGGCAACTTTCGGTCAAAGGGGATGTACAATTGCCTTCGTATACGTGTGCATGGTTTGGATCCATACAGCAAAAATGCCCCGATGGTGCATAGTTTGGAGGAGAATTCATCTGTGTAATTTAAAAGATAGTATACAACAGATTTTCCAACATTTTGCACCAAAAGTTATATATATATATATATATATATATATATATATATATATATATATATATGCATGCAAGTCATTGAGTTAGAACCAGTGATAAAACTTCAAGCCATATCTTGATTTTAGAATTATGTGAACTATGATTATTAAAACCACCTTTCTCAACATACTGATTGGCATTTCGTTATGATATGGAAAACATTTCTTGTAATAAATAGTGCAGAATTCAAGCTACGTGAATGACTTGGAAACTATATGATCAAAGAGTACATTTCAACAAATTGGTTGATTTCACGATATTCTCATGAAAAAGCTAATATCAACATATCAGTCAGTGAGAAACTTCCAGCATTAGTTTAGCCTTCTTCATCATTATACTAAATAAACAATGAACAAAAATGAGGTTAAGACTTCAAAGTCAGGTGGTTGGTACTTTAACACTCAGCCAATGCACTAAAATCTTATCGGCCAAACTTTCTATTAAAAGTCAATTTGCTTTATAGTATGATTATCATCCTATGTAGTACGTGGGTGAATAATGTAATATGTTTTGTAACAGTACAACTCGCCTATGACTCACAGGTTTGCATACCATGCCCCACGAATTGTGTAGAGTTTATAGATTCTATTTGGTTGTTTACATATAAATTTGTTATTTACTCATTCTTGCTGTAGTTTATAATTTGCTTGTTTGTTCTGATATCATTATATTCCCATTTATTTTCTGCTGTATTTTTCGCAGAGTCTAGCACTTCAAACCAGTATGATTTTTTTCGGTTCCCACATCATTGTGCCTGTTTTTCAAAAACATTTACAGACACCTATTTATTTATAGTAGTTATAAATAAGCGATTTGATACAGCTTGATATTGGGTTTTCATTAGTATTAGTTAAAGCATGAACAAAACCCAATACTTTAAAGAAACTAATCACAACGATCTAGATAACTCGAATGTCAAACTTACAACAAAGTTATCGAAACATATTAGCTTCTGAATCACTGTGATGAATGTCAACGTAATACTCGTAAGCTGATTTTAGTGAAATGTTTTTTTCAACAAACAGAGTCTCATAACAACAAAAATGATCTTATAACAGAAATAAGGAAAAATAAACAACGGAAATTGTTAAGCTAAAACTAGAACACAGGAGATTATCAACATAAATTTAAAACAAATACCAGTTGCATAATAAATAAACCAGATACAGAATATGTTAGATTATTTGCTATAATAAAGGCTTGTCTCACAGCTCATACACATATAGACCTCATTAAAGGTATCAATTAACATCAACACACAACATCGAGAACGAGTACTTACTGTGGAACCGATTACCTTGCAGAATCTAACGAAATCAATATCAAGAATTTTCGGCTGATGAATACACAATTTGATAACACAATAAAACAATGAATCCAAAAGAACGAATACTAGATAATTATTTAAGTAAAAAAATGAATATTAGTTTAATAGAAAAACTATTATAGTGAATTCCTCACATGCTGTGTAGATAAGGTTTTCATACCACAAAATCACCACAATGATCCATTATATTTCAACATTAGTAACAATATTAAAATCTCTGTTTATTAACATATTGAATGTCAACAATATTAAGGAACTTTTAAATACAGTCTAAGATTATTAGTGTGTAAATTCGATATAATGACTTACCACATAAGATAAAGGCGTGACTAAACGATTCATGCGTTGTGAAAAAACTGCATGATCAAGACCGAATTGTTGTTGTTTCAGGTGTGGGTAATAGTAATGGTGATAGGGAAACTGTGAGTATGATGGATGCCTTTGTGGAAACATGTGAGAAGAAATGTACCACTGATACCAACTCGGTGGCCAAGAAGTTGCTTGTCCCTGTTGAAGATCGGGAGCATATATGTTATTTGACTCTGTGCAGTAATTCATATGATTAGTATTGCCATCTGCGTTTCCAGTATGAGAAGAGGTTGAGTGGTTTATGAGGGGAACAGACACGTATCCACTGTTATGTGTGTGTGTGACCAAACCAGGTTGGTTAGACGTTGAAGTACAAGATTCACTAGTCATTGTTAGTTTTTCATCTAAATTCCATTCTGTTTGTTCTGAATAATCTTGGGAATAAAATAAAAAAATCAAGTTATGTTGGATTGCTAACAGATACTATATTTAAGATAAATATAGTCAATGGTCAATTTATCGACCGATAGTAAACAATGCAGAACACAATTCATAGGTCGTAAAATCCGTTGTAGTCGGTTAGCTAGCCTAAGGTAGTGCTTCCAAAAGAAACACTTTCATCCATTTTTCTTAAATTATACGATTTAAAAGTTTTAAATCAATGGTAATTCCCATTACATGTTGGCAACTGAGTTTGGATATACTTTGGGTATTAGCAGTGTCCCACAACTAGTACAGAAATTAATTTTAGTTTGGCTTTTCGAACCCATCGTTGACTAGCTTCTTATAGTATAACCAACCGACTTCATAGAAAAATGACAACTAAGTTTTAAATTGGTTGTATCATTATTTTCTTCATTCATTTCCTTAACTTATAATTTCTATTAGTTGCCTTAGAATAATGTCTAATGCAATGTGTTATTCACCAGTCTTATTCGTGTGAGATGGTTGTGCAGTATCGTGGATTAACTGAAGTTAGACTTGCACACCAATGGATCCCAGCCCAGTGGCCCCCTATGTTAAGCTTTGGCGCGCGAGACTGGAAGTCCCAAGTTTGATGCTCAGATGAAGAGTTGTGGGTGTATGCCGTCGAGGAGTCTCATACTACGATGAAACAGCCGTCTAATGTTTTAGGGTTTTAAGTAGTTGTCTAACTTGGGTCAGTTCGTGATCTCAATAAAATTAAACAGTTTCAACAACTCTATTCATTCATGTTTATTGATGTGATATCTAATTTTAATTAATAGTTTAGCTACTACGGAATTTTTGTGAAGCACTTTCAGAAGTTATAACACTTAATTCTCGAATACCTTTTAAGTAAACATTTTAAAGCCATCATTTGGTGTTAAATGTCCTCTTCTGATCTTATCTTAATAAAACACTACCACTGTCCAGACTATTTTTATTCAATAACAAAAATATGGATAACTTAAGCCATTTGTGATCGCATAAAGTCCATATTATGATTTCAACGGTTTCACGTCTTTATATGTAGAATTGATCATTTCTGATGCTGTGAAAACCTCGTAGGGAATGTTAACAAACAGAACATAAATGTACTCAAGCATATTTTTAATGATAAAAGCTGAACACTTTATACGTTTCCTGATTTTGTTAACATGCTATAACCCAAAAGCGCCAGGAGAGAAGCCACAAAAAGATTTATCTGGTAAACTGTAGGACTTGTAAATAAAAACAAAAGGAATAAATAGGTAGTCGATTCTTACCAGACTGCAAATTTGTATACACTGGACAGGATCCTTCGCTTAAATTATTATGGTATTGCGAAACAGGTGTCATAAAAGAATGATTGACGGTTTTTTCAGCTTTGTTTGTGGTAATAATACCTGCTTGAGTAGTTCCTAAATGCATTGGAATGCAACTGTGTAGTTTTTGTTTAGTTAACATGTGTGAATTGTGGTCAGATGAATTTCCCGACAATACCGAGGAGTGATGTCCTGAAGTCGTTTGCATTGTTTTTACACATGACTCAGGTTTTAACTGAACATCCGAACTGTTTGTGAAAGCGTTGTTAGTTGGGTGATCTGGGCCAAATTTGCTATCCAAATACCGCTCAAAATGCTGAAAACCTATGGGTAGACGCTGATGCATTAAATCAGCATTTGAGTGGCTACCGTCTTCGGATATTCCGGAACTCAATCGACTTCCTCGAGATTCTGACGTCGTCTCAAAGCGATTGCTTCTCACAGCACTGCTACTACGACTGCTTGATAGTGATCTAGCTATATATGGTGATTCCGTACACATACTTTGATCATCTCTGTTTGACACCACACATGTTTCGTTTCGTTCAGTTTTACCATACTTTCGTGGTTTATCTAGTTCGGTCATTTTACATCCATCTTGTCCCAGTGAAGCATTTGTGTATGCAGAAGAAGTGCGTAACACCAACAAATCTCTGACAGCTTTAAGAAGATACTGCAACTAAAAAACATTTTATTAAGCATACGAATTTGTAGGTCTCGAAAAAGTAAAAACTGAAACGTTTTGTCCATATAAGTGTTTTTGATGAAAAAAACAAATTAATGCTCAATTTACTAACAGTTCAAACAATGAAGCCCAGAAAATTTCTCTTTTATAAGCAATTTAAAGTCAAAAATCTAAATCGTAACAATGATTTATCCATTAGGCATATTAAAAGTGGAAATAGCGCTAAGTGTAGTTAGTTCTTCGAATTAATAAATTGGAAAATCTATTTGGCATGATCATTCGTCAACCTATTACTAGATCAAACAGCAGGAGAGACAAAACAGAGTAAATGTAAGGGTCAAAATAGAAAATTCATCCTTAAAGCATAAGGATTTCAAAACTCAGACATCTCTTGTTCACTTAAGAAACCATTCAGCAAAGAATAATTAAGACAACTGAATGTTCAAACAAATATTTAAATTCACCAAAACAAGGGTTTGTGTGTTAGGGATGGAATAATGATCACTTGTGTTATGTTCATAGAAGAAATGTACAATAGGCATTATACAACAGCATATCAAGAAGTATTATCGAAACTTGTCAACTACAAACAAACCGTATGTTCCTCATTTATATTAGTTTCCGCTTTTAGCTAAAGGCCCTTTCTACAATAAAAATGTTCATTTTAGTAACCAATCATATAGATTTTATATTATATAGGAAATTGACAAAGAATAAAGAACAAGTTAGTACATTTTTGTTTAACTCGAGTTATTTTCTATCTTTGTATACCCTTTATCTTCTAGTAAAAGACAAGTAGTAGATGAGATTAGTGCCCTGGAGGCTTTTAGTAGATCAGGTTGCTTTTTCTTGGCTTAAGCATCACTATGAACGAGATCCTTCATGCTTATGTCTGCGAAACGTCGCTATGATTCTGAATTTCTTACTTTCAATATTTGAAGATTCATCATCATTTTAAAAAGTGTTAAAAGCAAAATACACAAACATACTACATATGAATTTTTAGATATTTTAGCGGTTGAGACGATTATTACGCCTCTCTACCTATAAAATACTGATTTCAGAGAACGAGCAGCAATAAAAATAAAACATCTAGTGATCAGTGCTACCCAATAACTTAAGGCATTATACGTGGAATTTAACGTACAACATTCATCGGTTGAAACAACACACTTTTGAGCTAAACTGTCTTATTTGTTTTGGAACAATAGCAAAACTTTAACAGATTACGATACTCGAATCAATATCACACTCCTTTACTTAGTTACTGCACTTCAAACTAAAGTCCTAATACACTGCAAAAACCACATTGCATTCAATTTAAACGCTAACCTCGTCGAAATTAAATTGTTGAAGAACATTGCTCTCTGCGTAAGTTTGGCTCGAGCGTTCATCTGAATAAGAACTAATGTGTTGTCTACTTAGAGGCGTAGCAGAGTTTTCGTAGGAATAAATCTGTTGTGAATCATTACTTTCAAACGCCGGTTGATATTGAAAGAGGTTCCCAGTCATTGAAGGTGACTCAACACCTTTTACTCGAGGTTCGCAAACTGGATTTAAGGAAGCACTCCTATTTGGGTGCATCCGATTTTGCGTACTATGATAAGGGTATGGTTTTGAGTCTAATAATCCAAAACAAGAAGAAAAATATATAAGGGTTTAAAAACTTCAATTATTCACAAACATTTGAAACGAAGAGGTACATGTTATTTATCACTATCTATAAAAAAGAGTTTAGTAAGAACTCTACCAAGGCCTAGCAATTAATATGGTCGCACGGTCATACGAACATTAGCCACAGTGATTATAAAAACTCCATCTACTTGTTTTATATAAAACAAAACCGGGGATAAAATTACTAATTGAATTCCGTTATGACAATCATTATGTTTAGAACAAATTTATGTTAAAGAGTAATTTTCTTTTTCAGTTAGCCTAGTAAGCCAAATAAATTCTCTAGGACACTTGTTATTTTAATTATAAAAATAACATTTCACATTGCCAAAAAATACTAAAGCCTAAATTTATGTAGTTGATGAATGTATTACAGTGGACGCATAAACGTAGTTACATTATTTAACTGGAAAACTAGGCTACAAAATAATAGTTCATTAAAGAAAAGAAATGGGTCCCTGATATCCAAATGATAAACTTGTGTTAGTAATCAAACATTGCGGCTTACTACAAAGCATATAGAAAGTGGGAAAAAGATAGTACCCCTATTTAAAAACTAAATTGTATTGTCTTTGAGTTTGAAGTGGTGATATACTGATATAAGAATTCTCGGAAAATTTGAAAACCAACTTAAAATGAACAGACAGTTCGTTGATGAGATGTTAACAAACTGTCTAAAAATTTGCATAAAAAAAAGGGGAAAATCATAAAAACTTGTGATTTATTTGACCCGAGAACATCAATCAAAATTTTAAAGTAGGAATACCTAAAACGTTCGAACTAAGTTACATAGAGCAATTAACTCCTTATCACATTCTTCAGAAACATAAATAATCTTAATCTAGCCTGGTTTCATGAAAATAATATTTATATTTTGAGCATACCCATAGACGTCATACTGCTCAAAGCATTTTCAATACGTTGCTCCAGAAACTGTAATAAATCAGTAGAGCACAGTTTCTTCTCAGTCTCACCAGATTTTGGAGAAACTGAGGGATTCACATGACCAGACGTTGTTTCGCAATAGCCATGAGCCAAACCCGTACAAGGACTATTCGCCATTATTCTCTGCTCATCTGCTATCAAGTCTGACAAGTAATGTTCCAAAGCGTTTTGCGTGCACTGTGAACCCGGCATTCGAGCATCTGGTAATCCAGCTACATTGGGAAAACCTAATAAAATATAGTAAGGTATTTGAATAAAGAGAACAGAATGAGTTAGTAAAACTGGTTAGGTATAAGCGACATACGCAGCTGGCCACAAACCGTAGTTATTGTGATGATCAATAGGTTTAGTTCATAGCTTTGATCGAGGGAAATTCACAAATAGACCGTGTTTTCTGCCTTCAGGAAATATGATCAGTCTCAACATTCTTCCAGTAAATTAGTTTGAGCACAAAGCACAACTATATTGGCGGTATAATAGATATGCTTTTAGAAATGTTTGAATCGTGAGTAAGCTCAAGAAGTGACAGGCTTTGCCTGGTCATTATCGTTGAATGTTTGATACTTCACCACAGCATAGATAGCAATATTCTCAGTTTACTTGTGACAAAAAGAGACTAAAAAGATATAACTTCTTCATAAGTATTTTGTTTTATAATTACTGAGCATTAAAGCGAATTGTTATTTTCTGACAACTGGCTGTGAAACTACAAAGTGGTAAATTTTTAAAACGTTCTAATGTTTGAACTTAGTTCAATGACAATACCAGTCGGTAAAGAAACTTACGAAATGCTTTTTACCGTGGAAAAAAATTCAAAGGTTCGTGATTTAAGCAAGGAAGCAATTACCAGGTAGTATCACGAGCGATCGCTAAATAGGTATACTCTTATTAAGCTGTCAAATCATCTTCTAAGAATAAAATGGGTTGGTGGGTAGAGTTGCAAATATTTAGTTACAAACGAATCATAATTATTAACAAAAACTTTCTTGCCATGGAGTTTGAATTTTTGTCAGCCATATGTTTCTGATGATGTATAAACATCCTATTTCACAAAAATAATAGTTATGACCGTCAAACCTAATTCCGGTGACAAATATTCTACATGTTTTATTAGTGGATGAGTTCAATCCGGAACAGATTGGGCATAATTCATTTGTATATACTTACCAACATTCCATGAGGCGTGCCTCGGTTGAAGACCATAAAGTTGTATTACGGGTTTTCCCTTGAGTTCACTCGTATCTCGTTTTTCCTGATTACCAGAGTATGAAATGTGACGTTCTGTGGACTGGAATGATGGGTCGTTGCCGATACGCATAGGTGAAACAGCCGGTTCATTATCCGAGAGATTTATCCGACCTATTCTATTACATAACTGTTCATCTCCTAGCGGATAAGCCCCCCGATCATCTGAGGATCTCTTACAACAGTGTTGAAAGTCAGCACCTCCAGGTGAGTTCTTCATAACATTCAGTAAATTTGGTGGCTGAGTGTTGGACGATCGGTCACGTGAATGTTCTCTTGTTGAAGAAATCTTGTCCTCTGTCTCATAAGAATAACCTGGCACAATGCATGGACTAGGTAACAATCTTTGACTAAAATCTTTTTCATTTAAAAAAGACGCCCTTTCAGAGACTGTATGAAATGATTCCTCACTTCCAGAAAATGAGTTAGATGAAGCCACTCTTCCACTCACAGAAAAACTATCAAACGACCTGGTGAGACCCTGTTCATTAACCTGTGGAGAACATGGGGTGGCTATTATCACACCCGTGGGTTTAGACTGAAGTGTGGACACACTTCCTGATGATGACGATTTCACTACTTCCTTCATATATCGTTTGGTACGTTGTATATCTTGTGGCTTAATAGGAATATTTGATTTTTGAGGCCTCACCTTTCCTCCTGAAGACATATTTGGTCCATTAGATATCGAAGATTGGTGTGCTGTTGACGATTTCGGAGTTACATACTGAGGTTTGGCGACATGAATGTTCGGACATTTGTGATTCACTGGTAAGTAATCGGAGCTATTGGCGGAGTCCGATCGGGGCTGCATGATTGAAGACTTTGTGACATTCAAGGGCCATACAGGGGATGCGACATCAGAATTATTAACTCCCGAGCTTTCTGACTTGACTTTGTTCAAATGGATTGTGACATCATTCCTACCTTCACTCGTATTGCGTACAAACAAACGAGGGTATGGTTCGTCTGTACACTTTTTTGTGTACTTCCCAGTCACATTACTAAGACCAGGTAATTGTTCCAATTTTCGCTGCATCCGACCAACAAACGTAACGATGATAGCATACAAGATGCGAATTATGCGCGTCTGATAAGTTCACACACTTGAAATGTTCAAACGGACCGATACGCATTCCAAAATTAAATATCAATTGCATATAAGGGATGAAAATGTACATACATTTTTTTATCACAAAGTTGTTTTGGATGTCAACAAATAGTACAACGTCAAATCGTGGAAATTGTAGAAACGAATATGATTAGAATAATTGCAACTTGACGCATCAGATTAAATAACTCTAAAAAACCCACAGTTCACAATAGCTAGGAATTCTCGATATAGGTAAAGCATAATAATAGAAAACTTTCGGCATAGCTTCAGCTTACTTTTATAACAACTGTTCGTTCTGGAGTGGATTCGATGATCGTATACGAAGGATTAACTGAGCACTTATTTACGTCGTGATAACCAGTGGTAACGGTTGAATGAGAATGTCACTGGTCTTGTTCCGTATTGTGTAACACCATTTATCACTATAAGACTCGGTTATTCAGGCAGTTGTTTGCAAGACAACAGCTTTATTATTATTTATTTCCAACAGCTGTCAACCACTTCACATTAATTGGACAACCATATCAGCTGGCTCAATTATCTCCACCAATGTTTAAGGTCTGAAAGGTCATTGATAAATTACCGAACTCTATGTTTAATTGCAGAGCACCTCAGCTCTATTTTAGACCTAGAGTCAAAAAATCTATGGTGCGAACATCTTATTGACCGATACTTAAATTTCTGTCTATATCTACGTCATAATGATGCTCATTATCCACTTTTTTAATAACTATCTGGTGTAAACTAGAATATCTATTTACGGTAGCGCCTGGATGTTTAAGTAAACTTCATGGTCGTCCATAGCATCTAATTGGAGTAGTCTAACTACTCGGCAACATTTTGAATGAATGTATTTATTACTTTTGAATAGGAATTTATGAAAAAAACACTTACTAGTCAATTAACAAAACTCTGGACAACAGTAGCATGCGTTTTAAAAGTCAGGTGCATAGTAAGATCAGTTAAAGATAACAATTACAAGGATCATAATGATAGTGATGGACGAATAGCGAGACATATATCAGTTTAGACAAATCAGTGATGATGCATCTTATCTGGTTGCTAACTAAAAATGATTACTTTTACATGCGAAAGTGAATCTTCAATGAGAAAATGGCTGTATGGCCTCCATATAACATATTTAGCCAAGGATGCTCTATTTACGTCGTCTGGAAGAGTTTTCGGGATACGGTTAACAAGTTACGAACTTGAAATTGTTTACAAAGTAAAAATTTTAGATTCTAATCAAAATTTGTAATGTATTTTACGTATTTCTAATCTCAACTTCGTTAAAACTAACATTCTGATTGTTGTGTGCTGTGGCCCTGTCAATTATCATGTGACAAAATCGCCAATCGGAACACCGACGTTGTCCCCGCACCAGGACAATGATGTGCACGACCAGTCTTCAGTCAACTCTGAGTCCTTATTGGTCTCCTGTATAGTAGCTTCTCACCTGATTCCAACTCTCGGCGCAGTGCGTTCGTCGGCCCTCCTCTTTTCCGTTTAGCTTCAGGATTCCAAGTTACAGCTTGCCTCGTGATGCAGTTCGATGATTTCCTTAGTGTATGTCCTATCCACTTCCAACGTCTTTCCCTAATTTCCTTTTCATTTGTAGCTGGTTTGTTCTTTCTCATAATAGGTTGTTGCTGATGATATCAGGTCGACGAACATTGAGTATCTTTCGTAGACAATTGTTTACAAATACTTGTGCCCTCTTGGTGATGGCTGTGGTAGTTCCCCAAATTTCAGCTCCGTACAGTAGAACTGTGTTGACGTTCTACTGAAGATTCTGACTATGATGTTGTCTTACAAACAGTTGTCTTCAGTTCCATTTGTTCTTCAACTGTATGAATGCTGCTATTGGTTTACCAATCTCCTCCCCTGAATTTGCAGCGGATCCTCATAGTTCATCGAAAAAATCGTGACGACAAGCAAAAAATAACGATCTAGTCAAAGAATAGTGAGACATGTTAAAATAAGGCTACAAAGAATAAAAATTGGTTAGGTGCAAGAGGGAGGAATTAACAGAAGAATAGTGTCGCTGTCATACAACAGACGTTGAAGTGACTAGAAAGCATTCACAGAGTGACATCGGTGTTCAAAAAGACTGTGTATACTCTTTTGTTCAACCTCGGGAACAAATCTCTTTTACCTTCAGATCTCTTAAGGAAAAAAATGTTTCGACACTCGGGACTAGCCTCAAATGTTGATTCTAGGTGAATACTTTCTCCTCGGTTGTTTAGTAAACATTGGGACGACGATGCACCTGAGCTAATAGGGCTTACTGTCCACTTGGTTTCATAGTGCCACCATAAGTCTAGCATCCTAACATATCGTTTTACAGATATTTAGAATCTCTTTGCTGAGTGGCACTGGTTCACTTAGACGATGCTCAATGAATTGTAGCTTTAGATTCTGAACACAAATCTGAAACGTGTAGAAAGGATACGGGTATTTTATAAGAGGGGACAAAGATGTGTAATTTGTAAAGATGTCAAATATGTTCAGTGCTTTCGTACGTAACACCTGTCCAACCGAAGGATGGCAAACACAGTCAAAACAAGAGTCAGTGATGAAGGCGTTCGAGGGTGTGTCTAGAAAAGTACCTGTTTGTCGAAATGTTTGTGTGATCTAGACTGGATGGTAGTTGCAAGCACTGAGTAGTGCAGCGTAACCAATGGCAATCCGATGTAGACGCATGATCGAATGTTTTCAGCTCGGGTGCGTTCGGTAAGATTAGTGAACTCAGCGTCAATGTTGAACACCTACAGAACTACATATTTTGGGGGGGTTGCTTAGCACTGCACATGAACTGTACCTCATGATTTACAGGATTTGAAATCGTCCTTATTATCCTCTTTGAGATTGCCCACTCTAAGAACCTTTGTGTTTGTAATGAACTCACAAAATCAAACAAGTTTCTCGACACTTAACATCGATGGTCATCTTATTAGTTTCTTAGAATACGACAATTTAAGCACTTTTGGTCAGGTGTCATTACCAGACCACGTTACGAACTGATGCAAAACGATTATTCCACTAGTCGTGGTCCATTATCTGACTCAAATTGGATCGTAAGATAATCGTCATCGAAACATACATCCCAGCTAACTTCGTATATAGTTATCGACTCAGATCGCGTTAGTGGATGACGGAATCAAATAAGCGAAACACGAGGATGAATTATTGATATGTAAACTTCGTATAATCAAAGATCCAGACAGTCGTTTGGAGAAACGAATCTAATGGAGAGATGAAGAGAGAGCGGAACGAAACCGATCGTTGAACGCATCTGAACAAACTCCACTTAACCAGGCGTGACTCAGTACTTATAATCAGACGAAAATGAGTTACAGACACATGATAAATAGGATAAGCAATTAGTACATGTATGATCATAAAAAGCAGTCAGGGTTAACATTCGAATAAGTTACATGTCAAAGACGTACCTTGAGAGGAATGACTAGATTGGTCTGTCCAGAGGCTAAAACAGTCTGTGTGGGCTTGACATGGTAAAGGCCACTACATCGTTTAGGAGTTTCACTTTTCTCTATCTTTCCTTGCAACCAAAAATTGTTTTTATTTTATTCATCGTTACCTTCTCCGTTCGCTTTAAGGGAAATGACAGTATTGTAATCATCAGCACACTTTCATATTTCCTATTTCACTTTACACCGATAACATTTCCTGAAATTTTGTACCATTCTGGCGGCTTCTGTAAACACTCTATCAGAATTTGATCGCGTGAGTGGAATGAAAGGACTTTCCTTTCATATTACATTCGTTAGTTTCGCCACCGTCTAGAATTTGATTACCTCTCAAGTCTTTCAGGATTTTTTCATCCTGTGGGTAGGCTTAACACACTTAACTTTCAGAATTTTGTAAGGATTATTCAGCAGAGGTTGAAAATGAAATTTTTTCTCCCTGACCTTCCTCTCAGTTTGCAGGACAAAAATGACATGATGTTCTGGGGAGAATTGAATCAAAAGCTTGAACTTCCTAGAATAGAGCCTTTGACGGTCACACGGCTCACTCGGAGAAAAGAATCTAAGCATCGAAATCACCCGAGGCTACTTCGTGTAACACTCAAGAATGCTACCAAAGTGGAGGATGTCCTGCTAGCTAGTCATTTACTGAAATTCGATGGGAACGTAAGAATACTGCCCGACGCACCACATTCTGAGCGCGATCTCATACGTGACATCCCTAAAGATTCTCGAGAGAAGTTTTTCCGCGGAAGAAATATCTTTATGCAAGGTGTACCGGAAAACACGGACTCTGGTCAAGCAAACTCTGACATTCGGGAATGTAAATTCATTCCTTAGGCTCAAAAACATACTGGCTCAACAAGTGACGAAACTAGCTAAGTAGGACGGAGATTGTAGACCTCGGCTAATGAAGATAATTTTTTCATCATTCCATATGGCGGCTGCAAATCCGGAAGCCTTTCGTGCTGACAGATGTGAGTTGCCAACTGGAATCCATATGCAACTGGGTAGGCCAGATGACGCCTGGATCAAGCACAACGACAAGTTGAAGCTGACCATTTTTATTCGTGGATTGTCTTGATGATAAAAATAACGTGTAAAGGACAGGGCCTACCAATTCGGCAAACCTTATGTAGGTAGGCTACCTGTCCACTCATTTATAGCTCATACAGATAAACAGGAAGAAGCTCATGCGTTTCAAATTGAAAGCATTAACTGCTTATACACCAACGCCGAAAGTCTATCAAACAAAATGGATGAGCTATGCAAACTTAGCAATGCTAATAAAGTTCAACTGATAGGAATATCTGAAACTTGGATATCTTTTCAGTTTTCGGACCAGGAGCTAGCAATACCTGGGATGTCTCTGTTTCGCAACGACAGAAAAACAGGAATTGGGGGTGGAGCAGCGGTATACATACGATCTAGCTTGGAGGTTCACCAAACTCACAATCATGAGTTTAATAATCTGGAGGAATCCATATGGTGCTCT